TCTTGCTAATCACAGGCAAATTGTTTTTATACTATCTATTGTGGATCTCATTTCCTTTTATTTAATCTTTCAGAAATGAAATAACGAAGTAATTCATATATTATCACGGGCCGTTATTTATATACGATCTGTGACGCGGAAGGGGGGAGGAGTATCGTCAAAGTTCTGTCAGAGACCGAAAACGAAACGAACTATAACGGTTCTATTCGGTCTCTGAAAGCTACTAGAACAACCTGTCGAATTCAAAATTTTTAAACTCGAATTTGAATCATACTCTTACTACTCTCAATAAAAGTTTTTAATCTAAACATGATAATCGTTGCGAAGGTGTAAGATACTTTTTCGTTTATTTGTATTCAGTGAATAAGACATTCTACACATTTCTCAATCAATCTTGATGATAATCTTATGATAATCAAATCATAATTGACTCTTACTTTTAGAATAGTAACCGATAGGCTCTAGCTACCAGTTTTCTTAAATGGATTCGGATAGATTTATCGATTCAATGGTTAAGAATTTAGTAGATGTCTTCCATCTGCTAAATCCTACCTTTGGCTTGATTCTGATAACGATAGATTTTACTTGAGGACTTCGTTATGCAGCTCGTCACCATTATCGATATAAAAAAAAACCTATCTTTTCGTTGTTGACAAACGGTCAAATCATTTTTCACTTATGTACTTTTGCATAAATAATCACTTAAAACGTTAGAAGTATCATGTAAGATCAAGTTAATTATAATTAAATATTCGATGGTTTTAAGTGAACTATCTTATACATCATCAATGAGAACATAATTCAAGATAGATGACTCAAAAATGTGTTAGTCGTCGACCAAATAAATCGAATATTGAAGAATATTTTTAAATGTAATACGAATAAATTCTAAAATAGTTTTTCTAGATCGGAACTAGGACTAAAACAAACTTAGTTCGCGCACATCACTAGTTACGACTATTATTTCAAAAGCAATTCAGGATACGACTATTTTATCAATAACATTTTTTCTATTCTTATTCCAATTTTACTTGATACTGTTTCTTTATGTAGTCTTTTGTAATAGTTAATATATATTTTTTTCTCTTTAGATTTATCAGGATATATGTGATAATGAGTCTTCATCAAATGAATTACCACGTTATCTTGTTCATCGATGTTCAAATGGTTCATCAGCATCATCATTATCTTTTTGTCCATATGAAGATGTATTAGGTGTTGGACATGAACGAGGATTTATTTCATTACTTGCACCGGGTGCAGGTGAACCAAATTTTGATACATTAGAAGCAAATCCATATCAAACAAAAAAACAACGAAAACATGCAGAAGTTAAACAATTACTTGATAAAGTATTAAAAAAAAAGAATTTGTTTTTGAATAATTAATTTCTATGATCATATTTCTATATTTTAGATTCAACCAGATATGATTACTTTAGATAATTCAATATTAAGTGAAATTGATCGAAAAACATTCATACGAAAACAAGAAGAAAAAAGAAATAATTTTAATTTTATTAAACCAAAAGAATTGATTATTAAATCGGATAAGAAAAAAGGAAAAATTGGTAAAAGACTTGCACGTAAAACACAAATACGTGATGCTAAACTTAAGGAATATCTTCAACAACAACAATTAAAACGTAAAAAAACTAAAAATTGATATATGTTTTTGTTTTGTTTTGTTTTTTTGTTATCTGTTTTTGAATAAAAATCAAACAACACAATTGTATTGTTTTCTTAAACAAAAATAAAAGTAAAAATAAAAGAGATTTCGTTTTTTTCTGTATATATTCCAGACAATGTTCGATTGGAATTGGCTTTGGGTAGTCGGTGAAATTGGTATATCTTATGGATTTTATCGATGGTGGAAATCGAATGATAAATTCTTGGCTGTTTTAGAGGTAGAAATGTGTTAATCAAACTTTCAAATAGTCTTTATTATTCAGAGAATTTTTTTTTGTAAAGAAAACAAAAATTCAATTTGATTCATTTATCTTTTATTATCTTCGATGAAAATTTTCGAAAAATATTTCCTAGCAAAATTACTTGTTCTATGAAGATGATAATTTCAGTTGCATGTAAGTTTATTAATTTATAGTCACTATAGAGAATTACAATCAATGTAGAATGTAAATATGTATTAATCTGTTTTTCATATTAGTGGAGGATTTAGATGGGAGACAACGAGGGCGATCGTCCTTTCCTTTCGAAATGTCTTACGATTTTTCTCAGCAGAAAATGAACCGATACAATTTCTAATAGACTTAAAAATACATTTGGTGACTATAATCGATTTTCTATTCCAAAATCTTAGATCTACAACTGTTTCATATGTATATCAGATTATTTCATGAAAAGAAAAAGCCGTTTGCCATGTTTGTCATACTAAATAACGTTTTTGATTTCTTTCAAATATTTAATACTACTGCTAGAATTTTAGAATCTATCGTTATTAGGGTACGTATGTCAAAGAAAAATGCACATACAGAAAGCATTATCCAAGAAGAGAATCTCGTCAAATAATGAATCGTTATTGAGAAGATGTGTCTTCAAACCAACAGGATCTACCTGTGTTCGCGGAAGCAGATAGGAGAAAATTTTTTAATGTGTTTTAATTGAGAACATGTCCTATATTACGTTAGTTTTACTTGTCCTTATATTGTACACAGCATCAGAATGTTTCATGTGTTTGAGTCTCATGTTCACTGATTTCACCAGACTTTGAAACAACTGATTTTATTTTCTAAGAAAATTAAACTATAATATCTAACATCACAACTTTTATGCCTTGATTCAATTGTGATAGATCGATTTTTTTGCAATGAACAAGTACTAAGACGACTATTAGAATTATTCAATGATTGATGAAATTAATTTATTTTCTACATCGAGTTATTCTGAATGTGTTTTAGCCTTGTTTCTCTCAGAAAAAGACATACTAGAAGGTATAACATTTTTACAATAATCTAATATCCGCACTAGAATATTTCAAGCAAATTTTTATTTTGACTGTTAAAAATGATCTGAAAGAGACTACGAGATTCTTATTGAAAAACTCAGTAAAGTCACCATAATTCTGAAGAAAAATGTATTTATACAAATCCTTTAAGGATTACCTATAGTCGTAATAGAGCTTATCTAATGCGATAAGACTCATCTTAAGAGTGATTTATTACTTTGCGAGATTCTTTCATCAGTTCGAGTACTATGAAAAGATGTGAGTAAAAATAGCACAGATTGATTCTCGTAGGAATCTGTAATCTATTACAGATCATAATAAATCCTAATAACCTATAGTACATTTGGATTACTATAAATTTTGAACTTCTTCGTAATACATTTGTATTTTATTGTTTTGTTTTACTCTTTTAAGAGAATTATCTTAATGCAATAAAAAAAAACAATTGAATTAATGTTGTTAGATATCGTAGATTTGAATGGATTCTATTTTATTTAATAATGAAAAACTAAACTTTCATATTTTAGGTAGCACCTGATATTGATATAAATGATTTAAAACAATTTTCATCATCAAGAACTTTTATCGATTATGCAGCTATACATGGAATTGTTCGAACAAATGATTCAAAATCAAATTCAGTATTAAAATCTCAATTTCATCCACATTGTCTAGGTGTTATTCATCGTTTAACTATACGTGAAAAAAAACTTGAAAAACTTCGTAATGTTTGGTAAATATTTTGTTTTTTAAAACCCTCATACAAAAAAATTCATTTCTATTCAATGAAGGACTGAAACAAATAAAACAATTAGTGATATAATACGTCATGTACCATTTCGACTTGTTTCACCATCAGGAAATTATATTCGTATTGATACACCAATAAAATTTGATTCAATTGAAGATCAATTAGAAGTAATTCATGTAAAATTTGAACCTAATACTTCATCTTCTATACAAAAAATTGTTGATACATTTCTTGGAGATTTATCAGCAGGTAAAAAGAAACTAAGTACAGTAGTGAACAAAAGTCTCTTTTCTCTTCACGAACTCACTCCGATTGGTTAAGTTCAAAAAGAATAATGAGGTAAGGCAAACTAGTTTTGCTTTCAACTTCATAACTTTAGAAAGGAAGGACATTGTGGATTAGTTAACATCTTATTATTTAGCGCTTTGTTTCAACTATTTACATTACTAATTTTTATCAAAACTCATCAAGTCTTTCGAGAACTATAACTATTTTACTATAACCATTTATGTGGACTAATATTATCCAGTGCTCTTTATAGATCGATACTTCAATAATAGTTCAATGTATCGAGATTAAACTTTAAGGGAAGTTTCTCCTATAATTTTCAGAAGCAAACCTTGCATTTTAGAGATATAGTATATCAATGGTCATCATGTTCGTCAGTTCCATGTAAAAATATCAATAATTAATCTTACATTTGACAAGAAACAGTACAAAATCTAGCAAGCAGCCTTTTCACCGGTTATAGAGCTGAGAGAAAAAATAGGTATCATTCATCATAATTCTCCTTGTATTTAAGTGAATTTCCTCCTTTCCGGATGTTAAAGTGAAAATTTTTTCGACTTTTAGTTTTTCATCGCTAATATAATTTCGAAGTGTCCTCTGTGGAATGTCACGCACAAACATGGGCTCTTCGTTGTTAGGTAGTAGTTTTAATTAAGGGGGCCCCCCCCCTCAAAAAATGTCAATTTTGGTCAAATTTGTCGATTTTGTGATTTATATCTCGTTAGATAGAGCTAAGTGTCTACTTTTGAATGCACTATAGTTTATTGATTTAATGATGAGATTTAAGGATATTGCACACGCTTTTCTGAACCTCCCATAGGGGAAAATAAGGTTTTTTCTAAAAAGTTTTGGTTTTTTCTCAAAATAGGATTTTTGATTTTTACGTTTCCGTGCGTCCCAGATTTCTCCGCCATTTTACACGTTAGAAAACTGGGTTTGGTGTCAAAATGAAGGCAAAAATTAGCTCTACAACTTAACAGAGTCGGATTTTTCGCTTTCCTCATTAATGTTTATAAGAAACTAACTTTTCTGGACCTACCCTTCTCGGCTTTTTCATATTTCATCAGAGAAATTTTCTAAAAACACAAGCTAGGAGAGAATCGAAAAATCGGGCCCTGTTAAGTCGTAGCGCCACATATCGGCTACATTTTAAAACCAGCCCGAACTTTCTAGCATTCGAAATGGCGGAGAAATTTGGGACGCACGGAACCCTAAATTTTGACCCATAACCTTTTGCTAACTCTTCGTAGACTCAATGCATCGAGCTGAAATTTTTACTGTGAGCTGTCTAGCTCGAGATACACCTCCACTGAAGATTTCATCATGATTGGATGCTCAAAAAAAAAATTTCATTTTAGAGGGGGGGGGCCCCCTTAAACCCAATTTTTGAAATTCTTAGCAAAAAAATTTGTACTGCGATTATTCTTTGTATGTAAAATTCTTCCTATAGTAATGATTATTTCTCATTCCGAAGGTGCTGAGAACATGAGTGCTGGACCTCTAACACTACCAGTTTGTGATCACTTTAGTTGGAAACAAAAAGTCTTGATACATACAAGAAAATTTGTTTTTCGTTTTTCTTGAAATCAATTTTTACACAAAACTATTCGGAGCGCATAATTTTTTGTTTTGAATAATATTGTATCGTTGATTTTTGGTACAGTTTACAAAAACACTCTAGTAAAAAAGCACATGTATTACTCTTTTTATTCGAATGAGAGGAACGAAGTAGACACCCCAAATGATCTCTAGCATTTGTAAAAAAATTTCAGCTCTATCGGACTTATTATGACTGAAAAAGTGGGACGATTTTTAGCCTTTGCGACCTATATATTTCCTAGAAAGAAATATTTAGGAATTTTGAGTCAATGATAACTTTTATTTTTGATGAGTCGTTCTTCAGAAACTCTGAAAAGAGGAGAGTGTACATAAATTTCCAAATCGTCAGCACGTATGGTGGCGAATATTCGCGAGAGTTTAGACTTTTGTTTATTACTACTGTATTTTAGTCATTTTAATGGAACATATGAAATTTCTGTTTTGCTTTATTTAGGTGTTGAAACTAAAGAACAAATGTTATTAGTCGATGCTCCATTAACTGGTGTTGGTCGTCTTGAAAAACAATCTAATGGTATTTGGTATCTTGTTCCACATAAAAAATGGGGTGGAATATTAACACGATCAACTCGTGCTGAAATTGTTGCACAATATCGTGATCGTTCTCTTATAGTTCGAGTTATAAGTATATGTTTTGGTGTTGCTGCTATTGGTACAGCTGCTTATTTATTGTATAAATATTATTTCAAACGTCGACAACAAACAAATCGATTACCAAATATTTCACCAATAAATAATACAAATCAAACAGATAATAATTCAAATGCTCGACTTCATTGTGTTATATGTTTAGAAAATGAAATTGTTTATAGTCTTCAACCATGTTCACATTTAGGTTTATGTCATTCATGTGCACAAACATTACAATCAAGAAATCGTGGTGAAGAATTATGTCCACTTTGTCGTACACCTATTCAAGAATATCAACGTATATTTTTACCATAGAATGTTTTCCTTTTCTTTCTTTATATACGTGTGCTGTGTATCATTTGTTCTAGGATTAATTTCTTCCTTCTTTTTGTTTCATTAACTGATACAATCGATCCGGTTTATCGTTTCGATCGAAAACGATAAAAAAATATCCAAACTCTTCTAGTTTGTTTAGAATTATGTCCGAATTTGTACATTCTTTTCAGTAGTTTCAAAACGTGAAATAAGATTAAACTTTACTGTGTACACAAAGACGAGTATAGAACACGAATCTGCGGGTTTTGCTCTACGCACTTTCACTCAGTAATCCAGATAAAAAAAACCTATTGTTTACACAGGCAATTTTTTTTATTCCTGAGTCATTGAATTCAACTTTCAAGTTTGTCATGTTACTGACAAATTCGGAAGTATAGAAAGGACGTATAAATTTGGACGTATAGGAAAGAAAATATGAAAACAGAAGTATGATTTTATTTGATATTTCATCATATTTTGCATTTCTCTTAGGAAAAGTTTGTTATTTTTTTTATCGATGTTTCCCGAAAAAACAAAACATAAGACGGAGTGTATGAACAGATGATATTTTTATATATTTATATGGTTCTTTATATTGATTTATTTTTCTTTAGTTAAGAAATAGAAACTGCGAAATTTAACATATGTGCGTTTATAAATAGAAATTTTTTTTCATTTTGAAATAAAAAAAAAACACAAAGAAAATTACTCGGTGTTTTTTTAAATATTGCTGTATCATATATATGTCACACTTTTTTCGACATATAATGTTTGATAACAATGAATATGATAAATTACCGCGATAAATAAACCATTGTCATGTTGTCCCCTCATCTGTATTTGCTTGATAAAAGAATCCAGGTATAATACTCAGAGAAAGAAAGAGAAAAATAATTCCTTTATATTTTTTATTCTTTTTCTTCCTTTTCAACCATATAAATAGTACGAGATAAATGTAACTTTGCCTTCACTTCATCATTTTGTATTGAAGATTGTAACGGTATTTTAACTATGGCTCCCAATCAAATGCCTACTGTTGTGTAAGTAAAACAGAAAAAAAAATCAAGATCTTTCAAAATCTATTGTTCTTTATAATTTCTAGTGATGTTAATTTAGTGAAAAATTTATCATCATCATTAAAAGAGTATGATGCTTTAGTTGTTGTTGCTACACAATTGAATGAAATTACAGAATTTGTTGATAGTTCTGTAGTAAAAGATCTTCAATCATTTAGTCAAGTGAGAATATTAAAATAAATTTTGTTTTTTTTTTGTTTCTCCTTGAAAATTCTATTTTGATTTTAGTTGAATAATAATTTTAATGATGAAGTTACACTTATTATGAGTGAAAATGTTCCAGGCAAACGTCTTGTATGTATAATAAACCAAAAAAATTATTAAAAAAAATACTTAAAGTAATTATATATTATTTAGATATATTCACCAACTGGTCCAACTAATCGAGATTTTGATGATGTACGTCGTTTTTCTGAAGCAGCATCAGCTGGTGTTAAAAAGGCATTGTCTATTGGTGCGAAATCTCCTATTATTGCATGTTTTGGTTCAAAACGATTTCGACAAGCTAATTTAGTTACATTACTTGGTGCACTTGACACAACTTATGTGGTAAAATGAGAAGAAAATTATGATTTGTTTTTTTTTCTATTTATTATGAAAAAAAAAATATTCATTTTTAGCCATTACAAGTTCGAGAAGATGTACCTGAACGTAAGAGTAAAGCTGATAAATTCGGTTTTTTTATTGGTCAATCATCACCTGATGATAATTATAATGAAAAATTAATTAAATATGCTCGAGCTATTGAATTTGGACGTGCTGTTGGTCGAGATATTGGTGGAGGTGATCCTGAACGTATGGCACCACCACGTGTTGCTGAATATGTTCAAGAATTATTTCATGGTTCATCCCATGTTAAAGTAAAAAATGAACTTCTTTTTTTCTTCTATGATATATTTTTAAAGAATATTTACGTTTTATATAGGTTCAAATGGTCAAAGATAAAAAAGAATTTGAAAAAAATTTTCCATTATATGCTGCTGTTAATCGAGCTGCAAGCAGTAAGTAATAAAAGTGTTCTTTTTTTCTAAGTTCAATGACGATCGATATTTTATAGTTGTTGATCGTCATCAGGGTCGTTTAATCTTTCTTGAATATATTGGTGAAGGTGAAATCAATACAACTGTATTACTTGTTGGTAAAGGTATTACATTTGATACTGGTGGTCTTGATATCAAAGGTATATTAAAGCTTTTTTTTTTCTTTCTTGAATCAAATTCTAAATCATATTTTATTTTTCTTGTTTTAGCTGGTGGTATTATGGTAAATTTGAAATTTTTTTTTTTTTTTATTTTGAATAAAGTTTTAATCATTACTCTTTCAGGCTGGTATGTCTTATGATAAATGTGGTGCTGCAAATGTTACAGGCTTTTTTAAAGTTCTTAATGAACTTAAACCAAAACAATTCAAAGCTATTGGTGTTTTAGCTGTAGCACGTAATAGTTGTGGTGAAGAAGGTTATACATCAGATGAAATTTTAACATCACGATCCGGTGTTCGTATTCGAGTTGGAAATACTGATGCAGAAGGTATATGATGATTTAAAATATAAATAAGTATTTCAAGCTTTTTGTTTTTTTGTTAATTTAAGGTCGCATGGTTATGGCTGATCCATTGTGTTATATAAAAGAATTAGCACTTAAAGAAGTTAATCCACATTTATTTACTATGGCTACGCTTACCGGACATGTTATTCGTGCATATGGAACAAATTACACGGTAAATTTATGAAAAACAAAAAAAAACCAGCTTATTTATTCACTATCCTCTTACTTAATTCTTCAGAAATGTAATAAGGAAGTAGTTCATATATTATACCGAGACGTTATTTATATAAGGTTTTTGATTGTGTATCAACAACATCTGTCGCGGTCTGTGACGTAGATGTATTAGTAAAATATGCTCCGAACGCTGTTTTGCTTAGAACTTATACCAGTCGATAGAACTTGAAATTCTAAGTCTATTGGGTCTCTGTTTGAGTCAAAAACTCAAACGAATAAATGTTCGGAGAAATGATGTTAGATGAAGTTGTGGTAAATGCCTAATGGTTCTAGTCAGTTCAAGAAACATGTCGCAGAGCTATATTTGACTTCATTTTCCAAACATTTATGTTGTTGAAATTTTCATGATGCGTGAGAGAAGGGAGAAATGTTGCTAAGCCGCCTCTAATGTATGTATCACAACTGTAAAGAAGGGTGCGGGTCGAAATTTTGAAACTACTTTTAGATCATATTTCACAGAAGAATTTATTTTGATTTTTTGTTTTCTTTGGGTTCTAGGCAGCAGTTGATAATGGACCAGCACGAGAAAATGAAACGTCACAAAAACTTCAAGCAGCTGGTGCTGAAATTGGTGATCCATTTGAAATTTCAACTGTTCGACGAGAAGTTCGTTTTATTATTTAAATTCTATTATTTTTATTCATCTTGTAATCTTCTTGTTTATTCAGGATTTTGAATTTATTACTGATCATGGTGAAGTAGCTGATGTACTTCAATGTAATAATCAATCAAGTAGTGCTACATCTCGTGGTCATCAATTTCCGGCTGCATTTCTTGCTCGAGTATCTGGTCTTGATAAACATGGTTCTGATTCTAACAATCCATTACGTTATACACATCTTGATGTAGCTGGTAGTGCAGGAGAATTACCACATTCACCAACTGGTCGTCCTATTCCAGCACTTTGTCAAATGTTTCTTGCTGATCGAGTTCTTTAATTTTATTCATAATATTGACTTTACTGATTCGAACAAAATATAAAAATTTTATTCATGAGATTTAATTGTCTTGTTTTGTTTTTCATCAGATAAAATATGTATTTTCATTTTGATTACTTAAGTATACATGGTAAGAAAGAATAATAACCTGAATTTAGTAAAATAAAAAACAATATCGAAAAAGCAAATGAATATAGCTTCAGGACGTCCATTCATCAACACTCGGTAAATAATTTGCAGCAGTATCAATATCGGACATTTATACATGAAAAAACAATCAAACATGAAAATGCTTTCATTTATCTAATATTTAAAAGGACTCCAGTAAAATTAGCCTGTAGCAGTTTAGAGATTTGTCGATAGAAATAACAGATAGTAGGCTCGTAATAATATTAAATGAATAATTGTCATTTTTCCGTGAACGTTAAAAAGATATTTGTTCACTTTAGAAATAGCCCTTATTTTCAAAAGCCTTTTAATTATTTATCTTATGCCTCTATTTCGATATGAATAAATAGTACTTACCCTGTATAAATATTCGAAGGTATTGAGTAAAGATTAGAGTAAATATCATGCATTATATCATGACATTATTGATGCTGCGCTTCGTATAGCATTTATACAATACTTCCAGAATTGTTTTTCTTTCTCGACATACGTATCAAAACTTGTCGTTTTATATCGTGATGAACTGAAGAACGGAGATTCAGAAGATACTCGTCAGCATGGCCAGCCATCAGTCACTCACACATATGGGGAAGGTTCGAATTTAAAAGTAAAGAAAACTGACTCTACCATTTGAAAGAGAACGATCCATAATATCTTATGTTGCTGATTTCTTCCAACAAAAACAGTATCTCCAGAGAGAATTCAACAAGTTCCACCGAACAGATCCATCTTGACCACAGTTTGATTTAATATTCACGTCTGTTTTAGAAATACTACGTTTGGACATATTTGGGTCTAGCATTGAGTTCTGAACAATATGGAGTATTCGGTCACTCAAAGCTTCAACTTTTGTTTTTCTCGGGTTGAAAAACTCTTTCCATTGGATTCTAGTAAAAATATATTATTTGGTGCAGAATTCAACGCTGATGATAAATATCAGGTTGCTTTTGACTCTTTTTGCCTTCATCTAGATCTAAACTGTGATTTCCGGGAAAAGGATGAAATTCCGTGACGAACAATATTTTTAGTTTGTTATTCGATACAGTTATACTTGTCAAGAAATGACCTAATATTCTGAAGCTTGTTAAAACTTGAACAACTTTTATACAGAAAGTTTATTTGTATCTCGGTTTATTTCATAGTAAAATATTAAACTCTCAACTCCGCTAAAAACAAATTTTGATTTTTTGAAATTTCGTAACGGTCAGTATTTTCAAAATAGTTCAGCTCCAACTAAAGACAAATCAATAAAATTTTTACTGATAGTAGATTTAAATGTTCTATGTCTGATAATAAAAGTTTCAAAGAATTTTCTTTTGCCATTGACAAGAAATAGATATTATAATTTAAAAAAATGAAAGTCCATAACGCTTGATTACACCGTTGTTCAAATACTAAGTAAAAGTATCGAGATCGACCTGATCCCATTATTTTTTTAATCTTTCGGAGGATATTCCGTTTGCTTACAAATAGCGCTCAAAACCAAAAAAAATTTTTCTGTGGACTTAGTTATTTTCAAGATTACGAGGGAACACCACGAACTGATCAATCACTATTTAAATTTTAGTAATGCCAATTTGTAGAGCTTATTGAGTTATTAACAGATATAATAATTACTTGGGCTCACAGCGCACTTAAGAATAAATTTCTCATAATCAAAGTTTCCATTAGTGTATCATAGCATATAAGGTCAAAGGTGGAAGGTCAAGGGTCAAAGGTCAAGGAGAGTGAGAGTTGACCTGTGACTTTTTACTTTAGCATAGACACACAGACGTTCACTATGCACTATCACTCTGCGCGGATCTGTTGCGAGTCAATGATAATAATATGACTCATAAAAATGATGAAAACATAAAACTCTTTTACAATTAACAAACGCACATCTTATAAATGAGCTTTCTTCACACAAAGAACAAGTCAAGTTAATATTACTAAAACAAATTTGATCAACAGTTTGAAATGTTTCATAGTTCTCTGAAAAATAATCAGCTTTAATCCAAGACAAAAGTTCAAGGTTAGTTCCAATATCTTTTCTTGTTTTTTAGTACATTCTATTTTGATTGATCTAAGACATTATGGATACATAAAAAACAAAAAAAAAGATTAGATCTTTCTGCATTTCAACATTCTTTAGAACAACAAAATCTTTATTATTAACATAACTTTTACTGATAATTGTTTTTGCCTAGTTCTTATCGAAATCGATCATAATATGATTAAAATATTAGAATTTGCTTAATTGTCTTTAAAAAAAGAAGAAAAGTTTCTTTTTCTTCAAATTGTAAATAATATTCTCATTGCATTTGAGTATAGCTGGACATAAATTGATTTTAATTAAATAATGATATTATGCAATACGAAATATATCAAATGTATGAAGTAAATGCAAGAAACTGCGATCTCTAATGTGAATGAACCTTAAACAGATTAGAGTATAAATCGGGAGGAGCACGTTGAATGTAACTCTTCTACCTTTGAAATTCAATTTCGCATCATCTTTCTATACTCTTGCTTTCAGTAACAAGTTTTATTCTTGGAACGGACAGATTTTCTTTATATATCAGTCTTTTGTAGACATATCTGTCACTCATTGTTGTGGTTTCATTATAGTTCATATTTTCTGTCATTGACTCGAGGTTTTAGATTTATACTTCGACAATGCATTTAGTCTAGATGCATTGAACAGTAATAAAGTTGTTATGAATCTCTATTAATTACAAAAATGGTCTTTAGTTGTAGAAAGAAAATTTTATTTTATTTTGAAAACTAAAAGACTAAAGAATTAAAAAATGCTTTATCAATAAATAGAATAGAAATTAATACTGAAGTATTGAATTTTTAAAACGTGATATTAACATTAAATCAAAGAATTTTATTAATTATCATTCCTCTATAGCATAAACAAAAAGAAGTGAATTTGCTTTAGCTTTGTGTTTTAATATCAAGTGACTTCGTGCAATTATTTAACATACAACGGAAAAATTCTTCGTTTGCTTTGTTTTTGCTACTAGCCATATCAAATAATTTATTCGTTGGCATATAACACTAATAAGAAAGCATAAAATTCGTTGTGTCTTGTAACTTATTAGTGTTAAAGAACGAATAAATATCAAAAACACATAGTATGTTAGAAAAAACGATGGAATTTTTAAAATTCAAATGTACAGTGTTAGTTTTCAGTGAGTTAAACAAATATCAATAATTTTCTGTTCTTAAAATGATATGTTCTATTCAATGCAGAAAAAAGGAAATATATTTTTATTGAACTTTTCGCCTCTTCCATGACCTCATATTGTCTTACTATTTGTTTTTTTATTTAAGTTCGATCCGATTATGAAGAGAAGAAAGGCAACTATGGACTTTTTCTTGCTCGATGGCTGAAGTCTCTAAAAACGTCCGAATCGATTGGTACGTAGAAATACAATGATTTTATAGGAGACATTAAATAAATGATATAATTCTTTTTTAGACCGACATGTAGCTGTTTTTGAACAAGATCTTCACTAATTGGTCAAAAACTTAAAAGAATTTACGTTTCTAGATATTTACGGCAAAATTTATTACAAAAAAGTTGAACCTTATCGTTTAATGACCCAAAGACGCTTTCCTAATAGTCGAATAGATGTTGATATATCAAGATTTCGTCTTTGGCTTTAATTTCTTGTTTGTCATTTACAACAGATGGACGTTCAAAGACAATGTTATAAATAGATAATTATTTGTTTTTCTGTCTGTCTTTCTTGTATATGTTATAAACTATCAAATACTTGTATTCAATAACAAAACATTATCACAACTATCGAAGTAATAGTTTGCTGTTTTTGAAGAATTCATTAGAACAGAAAGTGCAAATTATAAACTTCAAATTGTTCTATTGTCTATGTATTTAATAGCTAATATTGGTGGTAATATCCAGAGTTATCATCCAAACTAACAAAAAAGGTAGAAAAAAAATCACATTTTGAGCATAGAAATCAGACATTTTAACTTATTACAGTACTTTTTTTCTTCGATAATATCAAAAAATGTTATCTTGTAAAAACTAAACCAGAATGGGTGTGGGTTGTGTGTATAGAGGTTGATCAAGAGAAAACTTTGATACCCATACCCACAAAGAAATGATGCAAAAATCATGAAACAGAAAGAGTTCATTTTGGTGTCCTCAGAATAAGGAAGATCACATACAGAAAGTATAGCAAAATTATGAAACTAATCCCTTAATTTTCGTTTTGCAAAGTAATTAAAACTATGTAATGCAAATGATGTCAAAATAAAGAAAATAATTCAATAATTTTAATTTTTTGACATGATCAAAACCATTCAACGAAAAGAATTCAAAAATAATGAAACTAATGTAATGATTTTAGTTTTCTGAAATAATCAAAACAATGAAATGAAAATGATGCTAGAATAATGAAACTAATCACATGATTTTGATGTTCGAAAAATAATTAGAAACATGATTTCTTTTACATGAAAATTTAAAAAATAACCATTGAAATGAATTTTTGAAAATTTTTAGGTCAGTGAGTATTGATCAATTTAAACATTTGCAAGTGACACTGAACGGTTTTGAACAAATAGAGCTGTCGCGACTCAATCTGGATTAGGTGAGGCGGGGGGGGGGGGGGGGGGAGGACGTCTATGATAAGAAAATTTCAATATCACCTTTTATGAATATAGCTTTTTTGTATTATGTTAGCTGTGTATTTTATCGCCTTAGGTACAATAGATTAAGAAGCTGGTATAGCTGATTTTGTTTTGAAATAGAAATATGCCCATTTTTATTGTTATCATGAAGACTTGAGCCAAAAACAGAAAAACAATTAACACTATACAAAAGTTCATAGTAGAAAAAAGTCATTTATGAGATGTAATCTTCACACGTCGATTTTTCATTTGTGACCACTCTGTAGCCATCTTTTCGAGGTCCACAATAGAGAGCAGATCACCTTTAACCGCACACTACATTAGATGAAAAATCTTCTCGTTTTTTAATGTACTTCGTAAATAATTTTTTACAATTTTCATCTTGGAGAAACAAGTTCGCTCGAGGCTACACTTACTGGTAGAGTAATGAGAAAGTTGTAGATAACAGACATCCGTGGATAAGCCTGATCAACTGTTCTTAAATATGTAATGATTTCATTAATAGTTGTGTAAGATGAGATAACTGGTTGTATTAGTTCGAAATCACTCAAAACAAGAGAAGGATATGAAAGATCAGGTATAATTGAACATAATTATTCAGCATCGCTGAGTGAAACTTGTGCGACATGACCTGATGTAACATTATGAAAAGTACGTAATTTGTTGTTTACTGTATTATAGTAATCATTATAAATCGAATATAATTGATTAAGTACTTATCGTATTAATCGTGTGTAATATTCGTTCCTAAAGTAAGCAAGGAGAAAATAATCTGATTGCAGTGAGTTCAACTTACCTTGATACATGAACGGCTGAACTAGGATTGTTATTAATACGTCGAGAACGCTGTCGAGGTCGATGAAGTCTGTCGAGCTCAGCATCAACATCTATATCAAATGCTACTACTCGTCGAACAGCTCTCTAAAGAACGTTTAGAGATGACATAATAACGTAGTCTGTTAAATATCAATGGTAGTTATCCATACTTCAGCCATATTAACCATTGTGTTGCCATCGTTTCTCATATGTTGAAGAAGCTTCATAGTGTTAGAAATAACATCAATTGCAGTAATAATATCGAGTTCCTTCCCTTGTAAATGAGCAGTAAGTGCATAGGTTACACGTGTAACATTTACCATATCTAATAACAACAACATAGTTTCAATAGATAATAATTTCCTTTTGAGACATATTGCTGAATGAATAGCTTCCTTATCAGTCAGTTATTCAGTCATATGAGTTAAACCTTCAATAATCTGTTCGAGTGATATATCAACAGCATGCAATGAAGTAAATGAAGCAGTCTACAGCATAATATGTAATTAGAAGTCATAAAGAAAAGTCAACATTGCTTACCCATCGAGTATCTGCAAGATTTTTAACCAGTAGACCAAACTCTGAAGCTTCAACTTTTTCTCAAAGTATTTCATGTCGTTTAGCACTTCCTGTAAAATAGTTATACAGTTCTTGTACAAGATAGAAAAGTGAAGTAAATTCTACATTACAGTCGCAAGCATACTTAACTGCTAAGTTAGAAGAATGTGCACCACAAGGTATGAAAATTACTTCACGTTGTAATTTGTCGCTAATACAGGCTTGAACACCTGTATTAATACCAGACATATTACTACAGTTTTCATAGCATCGTGCAATCAATTTATTTGGTGAAATGCTTAGTTGTTTCATTATGGAAAACAACATATTGTAAATATCTAAACCAGTTTTACTTCGCAACTCGACCGCCGAAATAAGTCTTTCTTCGACATTGAAATCGTTTGTAAATCGAACAACAATCGTATAAATTTCTCGATTAGATACGTCAGGTGTGTTATCTATCATTACCGAATAGAATAAAGAATTAGTGAGACGAGCAATAGTTATCTGTTGAATGTGTTGTCCTAATAATTTGATGAATTCATCTTGGGATTGTACACTCAAATAGGAGACCTACAGAAAAAAATATATAGCAATATGATATTTGTGCCTTATTAATAAGATAGTATTTGTTACTTGATAAACGCTGAGTTTTTCCTGCTGAAACCAGTCATCAAATATATTATCACGATACCATAGAAGATTGATCAATTGAATAAAGTTACCTATATCACGAATAAGAAGAGCAAAATGTCAAGAGAATTAGAAAGCATTTGCAGGTATTAGTCGTAATGCTTCACTTAGACGTTCTTTTTCACGTAATGAAGGACGAAGTTTAAATTGATCGATTTTGGTTTGATTAATTATCCAATAATATTGTGTTGATGATCATTGATGCTAAGAAAAATCTATCTGATGAAGAAGACCAACGAATTTTCATAGTTAATTGTTTGGTAAGACAGTTATAATTAACTGAAAGAGATGGAAAGTCCATTCTTGTACCAGTTTCACGTGCTGTAAAAAAATATAAATCTATGTCAGTTTTTATAAATTAGTTTATCAAACTTGCCAATAGCTTCTTCATAGTCAAATAAATTGCGTGTTATAGATTTTAAAATGATTGTATTATTTAATAACAGCTGGTACAAGTATAATTCATCGCTATTGACTTTTAATCGAGTAAAATTAATAGAAGAATTATTATTTAACAATGTAAATGCATTTTTCTATTAATGCACTTTCATTTATATCTCCACCAGCAATTATTAATTGTGCTTCACTAAGGTTGGTCCAATTATTATTGGGTTTGATTGAACCAGGACCAATTCTTTTTTTCAAATGTTTGCAAATTCGAATTAAGAATGATTCTAAAACTTGTTTTCTTGACATATTGTTTTCGTCCATATCAAAACTATAATGTTCCATAAAACATAATATTTGACCATTGAACACGAAGTGTAATAAAAAACAAAGGCAGGGCCCTAATGCATTCGTATGTATATGTTCTTGACTAATATTGAATCTACGCATAGGAACATACACGTTTTTTTTTTGCATTAATATTAATGGTTGACATGTTCATTATTTGATAACCTGATTTTTCAACTTTAGAATATAACAAGTAAACGTTTCCTTTTCGTTTCTTTTCTATACAATGCATTTTTTTTTATTCGTCATCGCAATGTTTGTGAGTCTTGAATTCGGATCATTTGTTATTAAATTAATTTACAGATACTTAAGAAATTGAATTGTGATTTTTCTATTAAATTTTCTTTACAGTTTGATATTGAGAATTTGTTCGTTGAATCATTTAAATCGATTATTTTTTTTAAATCGTTGTTCTATGATGAAATGATTTAAATTTGATAAAATGTACTTGTATGTATACTTGATAATCCATGTCATTCATTTTTTATGAATCTCACCGGGATCTCGCGGGATTAACTTTTCTGCGCGGGAAGCCGCGGGTTCCCGCCTATCCCGCAAAAAGTGACGGGATTCTACGGGTTCTCGGGCAAAAAAACGGGATCCCGACAAAATTATTTTATCCCAAAGATTTCTTGTTCATTTAGTGAAGCACATTCTACGGTTCTATGTTCAAAATAGATTCGGCTTAGAATGTTTGTAGTTAAACAAATAATTGTTATCAATTCGACTATACTACTACCTACACCTAAAAAATGTTCAGTACCATGTGCTTCATGCTCTTTTAATTTAGACGATGTGTTCACAAGTAACATACTTGATAAAAACGAAGACAAAATGAATGATGTGGTTGATGAGATTAATGAACACTATGATGGGAATATTTCGATTTGTAATACAGAAGCTTCAAGACAACTTTTTCATTTGTATAATGCGTTACTATTAATGAAGAGAGAAATGAGTAAATGACTGCTACGAAATACATGAGAATTTTTAATAAAATTCGATGGTTATTTTTCTTTCACACTAAGGGCGTATCGTCGACTATTTCTCTTTCGATAACCAATTAAATGTATTTGTTTTTTTAGTTTGTTTATATTATGAATAGAGAGGGGTTATAGAAGGTTTTGTTGTACACTTCACCACTCTAGCTGATTTCACGACTTTGCTTCAATAATGTAATATGAATATATAACAGATTTTGGGGGTAAGAAGTGGATCATATATTTTATTTATATATATCTAAAACAAAATCAAATGCATTTTCATAAGGGCACTTCTTTGTCCAACTGTCAAAGAATTATCACTAAAGAAATGAAGTCTACAGCTAACTCATATGACAGGAAAATACTAGAAAAAAAGTTCTAGTTTTGTGAAAGTGTTTTTGCAAACGGCTATGTGTGTTCATTTATTTTACAGCCGAGAACAAAGTAAACGACTATGCGCATATACAACTATATATAGAATATTTTATATCAGACGGAAAAGATTATTGTCATTGTCTCATCCATCAGTCATTGCTCATCTCATTCAGATCGACTTGACCATCACCATTGTTCTTTTTCTCATTCAACGTCTATTTATATAAGAGTCGAGCGCTGTGACGATCATTTTTCTATTCTTGCGACATAAAAGCGATCTATTTATTGTTTTTTTTAATTCAATATGTATAATAACTTGGATATGTTAGACGATGCTAATATTTATAAAAAATCTTACAAAACTTATAGCATAACCAATACCGAACAAAAATATAAACTTGTAATATTTCCAAGTGGCAATACATTTTCTATTGTTAATAATAAACAGTGTTCAAATTCAGAACATGATGGATTAATTACTGTACAAAGTGGCGATAACAAATATCTGGCAATGGCTTTCAAAGAAGGTACTAGATGAACGTGAATTTTTTTTGAAAAAATGTGAAAAGTTATCTTTTGTCTATTTCTCTTTCTACTATAGGTGCAATAGCTGAATTACATGAAGCACAAAAATTATTAGGAAAAGCTATGAATACAGATATTGAATCTGATTATAATCCAGAACAAGAAAATAAAATGAAAACAAAAACCATAACAATTGTTAAACAACAATCAAGTAGGAATACTGATTTCATTCTGCACAGAAGCGTGATATTTGCGATATTTTTCTTCTATCTTTACTTTTAGAAGAACCAACAATTACAAGCTTATCAGATATTCCGTTTGGAGATTTGGGTAAGTAAATTCTTATTCTACTGTGTGAATTTTTCGTTTACGATTCCAATTTTTTTCCAGGAAAAGCATTTAAAAATGTAACTATTAATTCACAATCAAAAAATGTACATAGTACATTAGGTATGCACAAAAAAGGTTTCTGTTCTTTTTATAGCTTGGCTCTTTTATTTTACTTTTACGTGTCTATCTCTGGGGCTATGTGCTTTCTATTAAGGATTTGACTTTAAAATTTGGATTTGACCTTGAGAATGGGTTTTGGGGGCCACAAGTGTGCTTTTTCGAGATCTTGTCAGCAGTCCTCTGTGAGGAAGCATTTTGGGGCAAAAACGTGAGTGTAAAATTTGTTTATCATGATTTTTTCTATGAGATAATTCTTTGTTGTCGCTAAACCTCTTGAGCGCAATCTTTAAGATTGAAAATACTAGACGCTGAACTGCTAAGTAAAACTTTTTCAGAATCGAATTCCGAAGTGACTTAGAACTTTTTGAAAATTCTCTTCGCTTTCGAAAAAGAAAACTACGAAAAAATACAAGAAAAATTTTAAAAACTAAAATTTTTCATCAAAAGCTACAAGCCTGGGATTCGAAAATTTTTTGGGGCATCCCCTACAAACTGTTGAAAAAAACGGGTGGGGGATCCTCCTTATGGGGTCTTTCCTTTCAAACGTTATTTTTGTTCCATAAAAAGTAAATTTACTATTTACTTTGAGGCGCTGGTGATAATCTTCGTCATTTAAAACAAACAATTAATAATTCTGATAGTAATGCTTGTGAAGATTTAAGATCATCACTACAACGACGACATAGCAAACGTACAAAAGCAACAAATATAAAATCAAAACGTCAATGTACATCATCAAAAAAGTCTACTCCACTAAATACAGCCATATCAACTCCATCATCTACTTTTATGGTTGATACACAACAATTGGAATATGATGACGATGATGATAGTGATTATGAAAATAAACCACCACCACGAAAGCCATCAAATCAAATAACACCATCTTCATCATCAATATCAATTCTCCATACACCAAAATCATTAGCTGGTCGAAAAATTCTTGGTACAAATGATGATAACAATGATGATAATGAACAACCATCAAAAAAAGAACTTGTATTTTTATTAAAAAAATTATTGTTAAGTATTACAAAAATAGAAGAAAAATATTTGAAAGAAATATTAATTGGACAAGAAAGACAAGAAAATATGATTAAAATGTTATTTGAAAATCCAAAAAAAAAACCAAAAAGCCTTATGTAAAAAAAAGTAAGAAGACTCACTTTCTGCGACAGCTTGATAGATGTTGGGGGGGAAAATCTCATTTAGGGCTGGTTTCTTATCGTGTACTGCGTGATTAAGAATAACCTAGAAAATAGTACGGTCTGAAATTAGAAGAACCCAATGTAGAACAACCAATTGAAGAAAAAACATTTGAAACAATAATGGTACGTTCAAACAGCTTTAAACAGAGTAATAACATGTGAAGAAAGAACTTCTGAAAAAAATGTTTTTCATGCCCTTTTTTATACTAATCGATTTTTCAAAAGATTTGTTTTCAGTTTTTAGATGTATAAAAATCCAAATGATGGAAATGATGTTGATTTATTATCAATACCTGGTGTTAAACAAAAGACGAGTTTATATGTAACATCATTAATTGATATTATTTTTACACATGAGAAATTATTGCAACTTGATGCAACAAAAATCAAATTTAATGATGGTTATAAATTAATACAAGGTTTGACTAAGAATTTATTTTATCTTGTTTGTTTAGCAGAAATAATCTCATATATTGCTTATCACATCCCTTTTTTTTAGAAGCTATACGAAATAAATTTCGATTATCAGATGATATTTTTCAAATTGAATGGTGTAATTTACATGAAACATTTTTAAACAAACGTCGGGATATTAAAAATGGTATAAAAAAGCAACAAACTACAGTTCAAACGAATCCATCAACACATACCTAAAACTTTATATATTTTTTCTACGAGAACATACACATATCAACATAACTGATGTGATCTCAACTAATTTATTTTTTGTATTTTTGCTTTTCTTATATGATTAATGTGATCAAATTTTTTTTTCTTCACTTATTTCTCCATTTTCTTGCTTATTATACGCTTTGAACACGTAAAAAAAATATAAAAATTAGTGATTAATAAACTGGATTCGACACGATAATACAGTGCTCAAATTCAACAATAAGGCTAAAAAACAAAAAAAAAAAGGATGAAGTTGAGAGTTGATCCACTGTCTTTGGTTTCTTAAAGCAATAATATAACAGTAATTTCCTGTCGGGATCCCGATATTTGTTGTGGGATCTCGCGGGATTCCGACGGGAAATTGCCGGGATAAAAGACATGGGTATTCACGTACAACATTATTTTATCGAATCAAAATCTTCATTTCAATAAAGAAGTTGAAGAATTAGTAGAGCGTTAGTATGAGATCAATCAGTATAAAAATAATACGAAGAATGCTATTGTTAGATTTTTATTAAAAATCATATTTATTTATTCATGCTTTCCGACAAGTTACACTTGTCATTGTCAGAAATAACATTACAAGACAAAAAGAAAAGAAGAAAAATTCTCTATCTATATGTACGATATATAATAAAACAACAAATAAGTTAATTAAAATTGAAAAATTATAATTTTCTAGTAATTAACTTATTTGTTCTATTATTAAATTTTGTATATTTATATAAGAAATTTTTCTTTTTGTTCTATATATTATTATTTCTAACAATGACAGATGTAACTTGTCAAAAGCATGAATAAATAAATATGATTTTTAATAAAAATCTAATAATATTTGTCTTATCAGTTTAATATTTATGAATGTTCATTTCTATTGCAACAGACTGAACATATTCAAACAAATCGACTGCATTTAGTTAATATAGAAAGTAGATTGCAAAATAAATGCTCAAATATTGCTAGCATTTATTGATATTTCAAATGAAAATAAAAAGTCTTTAGACTTAAATTGAAAGTTAAAAAGAAAAAATTAGTATAAATATTCAAAATATTTTCTCATTTCTTGCATTGCAAAAATTCTCACACCAAAGATTATTGCTTCTGACATTGTTGGAATATTACTTGCCTGATTAATGACAAATGTTCTCAGTGCAGTTCTAAATGGCGTCAACATATGGAACTCACGGATTTCATTCAACTTCATTATAGTAATACGATACACGTAAAATGAATAATTCCTAATAGATGATAATGGCTCTTTATGAATGGTCAACTATCAGAGAAATATTTAACTACTAGTTCACCTTGTCATATACATACATTTGTCGATGCGTATATCAGAGCAAGAAAACTAAATGTAACTTCAAAGAACTTAGACTATTCCATGTACATAATGAAGCATGTTACAGATGAATCTGAATCGATAATAAAAGAATGAAATAAAGATAATAACGATGACAAAAGTTCAATAATAACGCACCTTAGCGCATTTCAAAATCAAAATTGAAGATATTTATCATTATATTTGAAATGCATACCTGAAAACTTAACTTTAATGAAATGTTCAATTCTGATTCCTATTTTAGTCGCAAAACCAATATCGAATCTATCATCTTTTATTGATAAACTATGGAAAACTTAACGAACAAAAAATTAAATACAGAATCATAGTTATTCTAATTAAACTTTCATATACGAATTGGACATGACATAAAACATCATCATAATTTAATTTGGACCTGTTAATCGGAAATATAGATCCTGCAGAGTAAGTTTTTTCTCTACCTGCACCTTGTCTGAGAAATTTTTTTTAACCCTTATCCTACCCTCTAACCTGCAGAGCAGGATAACTCTGAATGTCTCTAATCAAGAGTTTCTAAATTTAATATTAGATTCAAAGTCAAAATTGAATTTTGACTTGAGTGTTTTGCGCGGTTTGTTTCAATTTAACAAGAGTAAAAACCGTACTTCAGAATTACGCTCTTCCCCCTTTTCAATTCAGACATGTATAATTTCGAATCTGGTATTTGTCCAAACTAATCCAATGTTGTGCATGGATATATGAAACAATAAGATTCTTCTCCAGATCGATGACATTCTCTATCACACTAATTGGTCTAATTGGCTGAACATATAAAAACACACGAGTGCTACTGACGTAGAGAAATATCCAGTTTGTTTTAGCTTGTATTATGTGATCTCCGAATGGCTCACAATATCATCGAGTGACATCTATCATTTCTTTATTTTGGCATGTTATTATTATAGTCCAATGCAATAAAAGTGCTACAATCTTTTCCATATTGAACTCGATGCAAGCAGCGCATCGTTTCAAAAATAGACTCCTGCTGTTATATGTGTATGCGTCGTCTATCGTTTTTATTATTCTTCCGGGAAGCAGAAGTGTGTTAGTGCGTCTTCTTTTTCTTTTTTTATTTCTCGTTCTTTCTCTTCTCATATACAGATTGCAATCAATCTTGTGTTCTGTTCATTAGTTGCTTTCTTCTTCTGCAAATTAAAAAAATAGAAAATAAAATACACGTAAATAGCTCATGACTGAATATAAGCTCGTCGTCGTCGGTGGTAAGTATATTTAATAAACAAACAAAAACAAGAAAAAAAACATGCTTATTTTTTTTCTTTCTGCCAAAATAGCTGGCGGCGTGGGCAAAAGTGCATTGACAATTCAACTAATTCAAAATCAGTATGTATATTTTCGATATATATATATAAATAATTATTTATTCTATTTAATAGTTTTATTGATGAATATGATCCAACAATTGGTATAAAATTTATTTCTATTCAATATATTATATTTATTTATTTTTTATATATATTCAGAGGATTCATATCGAAAACAAGCTGTTGTCGATGGTGAAACATGTTTACTTGATATACTTGTATGTAGAAATTTTTTTTTTTTTGAAATTAATTTTCTTATTTGTATTTATAGGATACAGCTGGTCAAGAAGAATACAGGTTTAAATGTGTATTAAAAATTTTTGTAATTTATTTTATTCAAAATTTTAGTGCTATGCGTGATCAATACATGCGTGGTGGTGAAGGTTTTCTATGTGTATTTGCTGTTAATAGTGCAAAATCATTTGAAGAAATAAAACAATATCGTGAACAGGTAAAAATTTCTTGTTTGAAATAAAAATTTTAAAAAAAATTAAGAAGAATAAATTTTAATTTGAAATTATTTTTTTCTTCTATTTATTTAGATAAAACGTGTAAAAGATGCTGATGATATTCCAATGGTTTGTAAGTATATAAATAAAATATATAATTTATTAATTTTAATGAAATTTAAAACAAAAAAATTCTAGTGGTAGGAAATAAAATTGATTTACCAACACGTACAATTGATTTATCCTATGCAAAAGATTTTGCAGCATCATTATCGATGCCATTCGTACAAACATCAGCTAAAACTCGACAAGGCGTTGAAGAAGCATTTTATACACTTGTTCGAGAAATAAGAAGATATGTAAATAAAAATTATTCTTTTTTTGTTATTAAAAAAAGAATAATTTAATTTCTTTTGTTTTCGTCTTTCAGAAGGAACGTACACGTAAAGATCGTAAAGGTCGAAAGAATAAAAATGGTGGTAATGGTACAAGTGGTAGTGGAAGTAAATTTTCATTAAAAGATGGTCGAAGTCAAAGTGCAAAACGTAGTAGAAAACGAATTTGTGTGCTCATGTAGAACATTATTTTAAGTCATATTTAGCAATATTTAAAAGTCATTTTTTTGTGTTCTCTCTCTAATTCATATACAAAATGACGGGTTTTTTTTTTGTTCTTTTCTTGCTTGGTATCCCTTTTGTTCTCCCTCAATGTCAGATATTTGTTGTGTGTTTCCGAGAAACAATTTTTTTTTTGGTTGTGTGTGGTGTTGTGCTTTATATCTTCGATGTTTCCTAGTCAAACAAATATACGTGTCTCATAGTTGTGATGCGATAACACATAACTTTTTTTTTCTCTTTTAGCTCTGCTTTGAAACGTGTTGTTTCTTCTTTTATTATTGTGTGTGCAGTAGTTTTTTTTTTCTTTTTTGGAAATCTGAAGAATGAATTATCTTTTTTTGTTCTTTCTTTTCTATACAAAGAAATATTTCGGTTTTAATTTTCTTTTTTGTTTCAGAAAATATTTTTTTTTACGTGAATGTAAATACAAGAAAAATAATATTCATTACAAACATGCAGACAACAGAAACAGTTACAACATCAAATATTGAATTAAACGAAAAGAAAGATAATGGATTAGTAGTAAATAAAGAAAAAAAACGATCGGTAAGATTTAAGAAAATCGAAATTTTAAAACAAATCTTAGTTTGAATAAATCGAATTTGGATTTAATTGAACGTAATAATTTATATAATTGAGTCAATTAAATTTGTTTTTTAATATCAATTAAATCAAATCTTTATATTATAGATTTGATTGGTGCATTTTTGATGCTTTCGAAGTATGAACAATAGACATAATCAAAGATTTTCTGATAGTCATAAACGTTAATCGAATCAACAAAATAAGGGATGTCCTAGAACAAATAGATTTCTTAGTATTTTATCATTATCGCCGTCAATGTCTATTACTTTGGTTTTGAATTTGCGATTAAAATATCCTTCGTTCAATTCTTTATAAAAACATATAAAAAATTTTAGTATCAAAAAAGAAAAAAACAACAAACTAACAGTACTGAAGACTATATATATTGTCAAAGTGACAAATTTAGTACCAACATTTACTTTCAATAGTTAATTCTTTTTTCTTTCTGACAAGACATACGTTGTTTAGAAAGGTTCGTCTCAGTTTTCAAGTGCACATTTTTCTTTTTGTAAAGCAAACTGATGCATACATTTCGAACAGAACAATGCGATACTATTGAAATTTTGTTTTTATGAAACTTAACTTTCATACCAGTATGTTGTGTTGACTTGGTAAACAAATAATTTATACTCATAATAATGAAAATATTTGAACACAAAAAAAAAATAGAGTGATGCGAATAGTTTTCTTTTTATTTTTGATACAGAAATCTTTGAAATGTCTACATAAGAAAAAAAAGCCTGATTGCACGCCAATCAAGGCGTGTAAATGAAATTTGATTATATATTCAGAAAGAGCTTTTCAAGAGCTTTTGAATGGATGATTAATTTTGTTTGTATCTTGCATGTCTAACGGCTAAGAGAATAGGAAAAAAAAAGCGAGAAAATAATATTACGAAATATATTATGTGAGTGTCATATAGTCTATGTTTGATTGTTAATTTTTATTTTTGATATGTTTTAACAAGGAAACTTTTAAGAAAAGATTTATATCAAAATAATGAACATTGACGGAGATATTGATAAAATACTCAAAGGTACATTTATTCTAGGATACCTATGATATTAGTTTATGCAATTAATAAAATATAATATTTACACTGTTAGAAGTATCGATATAGAAATGCAGTTGACTTCAATGTAAATCTCTCATGTTGATTAGATATACATTCGATAGTATAATAAAAATGAATGATTCTGAATGCTTTTGAGAAATGTTATATTAATACAAATTCTAAAAGTTTATGTTCTGATTTCATAACTTTGCTCGGATATGATTAGAATAAATGAATTTTCTTTTTTTTTTTGTCAAATATTCAAGTGTTATAGAACGATAATTTATAAAAAGATAATCATGGTTGCTAATTTCTGTTAATTTACATTTTTTTTTCATACCTTCAATTTTCATGATAATTAAACTATGATTCTTTTTTTTTTAGCGTTTTCGAAGTCCGGTCAGGTAAGATGAATATAACATTTATCAATAGTAATCCAGACAAGGCAATAATAAATAACTTCTATCTTTATTTTGATTAGATCAGTATATTACTTTACTAGATAAAAAAGTATTTCATCAATTTTATCTGCTCATTTATAGTCATATTGATGCTAATATTTTTCTTTTTTATGTAGCCGAAATTAGATGTATATATATGTATATTATTCTTTAGAAATTTTTTAAAGTCAAAAAATGATGATGAGAAACCACCACCTTATTATCGACTTAATGAAGAAAATCAATATTCTGATTTACAAGTAGATTTTGATTCATTAATGTAGGACAAGAAAAACTTTTAAATCCAATTTTCTTTTAGTTTCAAGAGCCAGAGGTCAAAGCACCTGTTTACGCTATTGTTTTAGCTATTGCTCTCTTTCTTATCGGTTCTGTGATGATTATATTAGGTGCGTTAATGTTAACTCGTCGCATAGAAACACAAGTTTGTATTTATCTTTTCAATACGGTAAAAAATGATTGCTTGTTTGGTTTATTTATTATAGTATAGCGATCGTACATGGCCATTAATACTTGTAGGAACATTGATTTTTCTACCAGGTTTTTATCATTTACGTATTGCTTATTGGGCATGGAAGGGAGATCAAAATTTCTCATTTGCTGATATACCTGATCTTGATTGGTTCTGAACAGAAGCTTATTGATACGTTGTACATTTATTTTTTTTCTCATATTTATCTTTTTTTTTTTGATGACAAAAAAAACATAAATATTTGTTTAATTATTCGATATTCCATGTGATTCATTGATCGATTAAGTTTCTTTTTTTTCAAATGCATTAAATCAATATGTACTCGTATAAATTTCTTCAACGATTATTCGGAAAACATATCTTACCGAAGAAAAAAAAAGTAATTGTTCATGATAAAAATTGATTTCTCGTTTGTAAAGAATTTCATTTACATGGTGAAATTCTCGGAAGTCTGAAAATCTTCTTCGAAATATTGTCTAAAATTGAAAATTCTTTTAGAGATTTCTAGAATCTATTGTGAAATCTTTTGATTAACTATTTGATTTCGGTATACAATAGTTTAACTGAATCAATATCAATCGTTCAATCGGATCGTAAATTCGATTCTCATAAACTCAATTGTCAAATATTTTATTTGAATACATGACTTTCGAGTCCTTGAGAATTATCAATCCAATGATAACTAAGTAAATGATAAGCATACAACAGTCTATGGATTCTCAAAACAAAATAGATAATACGAATGATCTCGTAAACATTTAAAATGAAATACGATATTATAGAAAAAAAAAAAATTAATAATTTTATCTTCGTAATTTATTTTATATTTTAAGATACGTTATAGTAAATCTAATTGACGTTAAGTAATATGATATTGTTGTGTTTTATAAAACGTTAAAAATTAGATATTGAAATATTATCATAAATTTCCAAGAACTTAATCGGATTTTTTCAATCTAATACCTTTTTTCATAATCTGAGAGAATTACAAAATTTTTCTCCTTTGTTTTTTGCACGATTACCATTCGTCAATATCCACTTGAGTTTTTGAAAAAATTTGAGACATCTACAATATTTTTCACTCTGTTATTTTCCAGAATATATTGCTTAAAATTTACGATGTCATCAGTGATGTCACAAGGACAAACGTTTTTTTTTCTTCTGCTAAATCCCATCTTCCTTCAACATACATCCAAAGCGTTACCTCTCTCCTGTTACCCTTGTCGATAAAGAAGAAAGAAAAAATGTGTGTCGGCATTCTTTTTTTTCCACCCTTCTTCCTAGGGCTGTATATAAACTAAGAGCATGATGGTGTATGATGAAACAAAACAAAAATAAAGAATAATTTTTGCTACTATTTCAGATTGCTTGAACAATGTGTATGAAAACGACTTGTGAAAAATGTGCCAAACCAACATGGAAAGGCTGTGGTCAACATATTGAAGAAGCATTAAAAGATGTTTCGGTTGCAGATCGATGTCAATGTCCAAGAGATTCTCAATGTCCAAGAGATTCATCAACAAAACCTAGCGATTCAAAAGTATCAACAAAATAAACTGATCAAAAATGAAGAAAAAAAACGACTTCTAAGTGTGTTCCATTCATTTGTTTTTTAATATCCGTTTTTTTTCTCTTTATGTCAATAAACAACTAGCAAAATAAATAAATATTTATTTATCAAATATTTTTACAAAAGTCAATTGTTTATTGAAAAATTATAAATGAAAAGCTAGTAGATTTTAATGCAGATCATTCAGTACTATTCCATATTTATCAAATAGCATGATCTATGTTTTTTTTAAAATACACAAATGCAAACATGCAGACAGAACACATTACTTATATTTTAAACTTTTTCATGTAGAAAGTTTTCAGAGAAAAATATTTGAATAAAAGATTAGATGACGAAGTATTTTAAAATATGCATCAATCTATAACGGTAAATTACTCTCAAATAGTTTTTAAAAGAATATATGTTAGATGTTTAAGTTCCATTGTTTATAAATGACTCCCTCATTAAACAATTATTTTATTAGTCAAAAAAGAACAAGATTAATTTGATCTATATTCTACTTCATTATCTTCAATATTAACGTAATTATTAATTGTTTCAGAGATATGTATTTTTGTTTTTGGATATTTTTCAATCATCGTTATTATTCAATAAACAAGAGTAACTTTTTTTTTTAAATACTTCAGCAGTCATCCATGAGATTGCGTACTGTTTCAATGCTTTCTACTTTTCAAATTAATGTAACAACCATATGTCATGTCATATTTACAGACGAGAGTTCGTTAGCAGTCATAAACTATCAATTAGACTTACGATCGTTGTTTTTTTATTTACTAATAATAGATTGAAATATAAAGAGTCATTATCTAATTAGAGCTCGATCTTAATAATTGTATTTCTATATATATTAAAATTTTTGATTATTTTTTAATAAAAACTCTTTCGATCTCTACTGACATCTGTGTTTCATCGGAGTATTATCACGCGGAAGAAACAGCCATACAGAGTATTACTCATACCGTTATGTTATCACAGCTGTTTTTTTCCTTTAAAACTCGAACTCTTCTTTATTCTTTTGTTTTGTCTTTTTTATTTTGTTAATATTAGCTTTCGTTTAAAAATGGGCAATATATGTTCATGGTGTTTTAAAACTGAAAATGATTCACAATTGAATAGTAATGTTGATGATCATTCAGAGATAACTAACTCACAACGTCTAGTATCTGCGTCAAAAGTTAATGATCGAACACCGTATGTTATTTTGTTTTGTTTTTTATTGTTTAAGACCTCTGTCTTTTTTCTTTCAAATAGACTTTTAGGTAAATCAGGCAATCATAATAACCATTCAGTGACGACATCAGGTTTTGATAATTCACAATCAAATGGTGAAATATTACCAGCAACACAACTTCCACCACCACCCATAATTAATGAAGGTGGAACAGAAACTAAAACAGGTATGAATAAGATGAAAATTTAGAATTTAAATTCTTTTATTTTTTATTTTTTTTTTTCGTATAAAATTTTCAGTAAATGAAACAGCTGAAAGTAAAATGGCATTTATTGTTGAACGTATGTTATCGACATTAATTGATGTTAGTAATAGTGAATCTAATATTCATCAAACAAATAGAAATACAAATGAATTAAATACAGAAAATGATTATTTAAGACAATTATTAACAAAATCATTATCATCAACAAAAATATTAGCAATACCAGATGTTGGTTTAAATAATCTCCCATCATTACTTTCTGGACGACCAATATCATCTGATATATGTCGTTGTGTAGCACATACAGCCGGTGAATTATCAAATTTATTAATTAATGAAATAAAAATAATACATAAAGAACAACTTGTTGTCGTCTTTGAATAAGAACTGATATATATATATATATATTATGTATGATTGTTATTCATTTTTTTTAAATGCTGATTTTCTTTTTATTCATGTATTGATAGAATTTTAAAAAAAAACATCTACACACACACACACATATCTAATATTGTGATAAGTCAATTTTTTTCTCTAGATTAAACAAATATGACAGATGAAAACAATATGATGAAATTAGCAGTAAGTTTTGATTTGTTATAATATAATAGAAATTTTAATTTCGATATTTATCAGAATAAAAGCAATGAACCAGAAAAGGTGATTAGAAAAAACAAAACAAAATTTTGTTGAAATATATTTATTTGATATCTTTTTTATTTGTTTTTAAAGATTGAATCAGATATTGAAGAGGATGATAATGATTATGCAGATGATAAAAGTAATGCTACAACTACGGATGATGAATTTTATAATGAACTTATGAATGCACCATCCGAATGTGAAGATCATTTAAGTGCGGAAGATAAAAAAAGGGATTGAAAAAATATGTTTATATTCGTGTTTTTTTTTTTTTAATTTTATAGTTCCTAATGAATGTAAAGATGAAATAACTGCTATTGAACATTTAACATCGTGTCTTAATCGTCGATATAATTCATGTCCAGTAGTTTTTACTGGTACACTTAAAGATGCTTTAAATGAAGCTTTTAATTCGAAAGAAATTAAAGAAGTAAAAGTCTTATTTGTTATTTTATTTTTCTTTTGTATTTTATTTACTTTGTGGCTTCTAGCGACGACCACTTCTTATCTATGTGAATAATGATAAAAGTCTTTATTCAAATCTATTTTGTAAACAATTATTATGTAATGATAAAATTATCGAATATTTATTAAATAATTATGTTCTTTGGGCATGGGATGTTACATTTCCATCAAATGGAGAAAAGTAAGAAGATATTCTCACTTTTGTTTTTTTTTCTTTCTTTCTTCAAAGTTTCTCGCGAGAATTAATTAAATTTTTGTTATCACTAATAATCAAGCCAGTCGGATTCTCCTTTTTTTTTTGGTAATAGTTGAAAAATACAAATTATTATGTCTGTCTCATATGATTTTAATGCGTCATTAACTCAATCACAAGTTTATATTTGCTTTTTTTTTTTATTACCTTTGATGATAGATATATATACTTATACAAGTATTCAGGTGTATACCTTTTTGTTAATATGTAATACAAAAAACAAACCTACTCATGAGGATACGAATTATTTTTGTCTGATAAAAAATCATTTTATTTTTTATGTTATCATATTCATGACAAAGAGAAAACATTTGTCATTCGAAATACATAATAAATAATATCGATCAATATTCATGAAAAGAAAAAAATTCGTTAATAAAATATCATATTGAAAACTTATGTTAATTGAGTTCAAAACGTCTAATATATACCAATAAATCTAATAGCGGCATTTCGACATGAAATTTTGTCTATAGACAAACCTACTTGTAAAACCGAATGCTTTGAAAATTTCAATTCAAAAGAATGTTTTACCTTCATGTGATATTAAAGTCCAAAAAAACATTTATATTCTATTCAAGATACAACAATTTGATGTTTTTTTTTTGGAACTTAAATATCATGTGATGATAAAACTTTTTTTGAGTTGAAATTTTTAGAGCATTCTATTTACAAATGAGCTTATACATAAACAAAATTTCAGATAAAAATATCATTATTATATTTATTGGTATATATTATGCCATAAGGGCACTTATTGTTTCGGTGTTTTTTTAATATATCCCAGGGGTCTACTTTATTCGGAGAGTCCCGAACTCGAAAGCCATTCATCACTTGATACGATCCCCTTGTAAATAAATAGTGGCTGACGCATAAAGAATGAAACATTTTTGTTCTGTCTTTTTTTTAATAGCTTTAGAAAGTTTCTAAAAATAATTAATTTCAGAGAAAAAAAAGTCTTATCGAACAGTATGTCAATCACAAATCTTAATCTGTAAATAGAAACGTTCTACAAGACTAATTCTATTATTCAGCAGATGTATTAAAAGAATCTTCAAAAATAAATGTTAATAGAAATCTTAGTTTTTGAAAAAAAATAAAGAATTTAATGTACTTTATTTACAATATGATGCACATTGTGTACACAGATGCAATCGATCACAAAAAAAAAAAATCTTGAAAAGGATACTATAAAGTGAAGTACCAATTTTGGTATCCCATCACGTTTATTTACTTTTTTTTTCATTTGAAGATACAATATTTTTAAGCCAAGAGGTTTCTATGATTGTAGAACTGAAAATGCTCTACCTTTTTGTTGTCTAAGAATGATATTTCCAAGAAATTTCTTAGAATTCATAGAAAGACAGAACTGAAATGCCTTATTCTTTGTATGCCATCTGTTAGGCAATGTTTTAAATATTACTAAGGTGCGCGTAATTCAAAATTAAAAAAAAAAAGTTTTTTTCACGACATGGATGAAAAGAGCACGTTAACTTGTCTAGGAAAAGTTAGTTTCCGAAATTTCTAAAAACGAATATATCATTGAAAAAAAGTGACTAGTTTTCATATATGAGTGAATATCTTTTTTTTATTCGTTCTGTAGAAGGCTTTTAAAGATTATTTCGAGATTCTTCTTTGAATAATCATTTACGACTAAAGGCAATAATAAGAAACGAAAACAATAACTTGATCGATGAGAAACTTTTATTGAACAAGTTTTTAATAGTTCACTAGTCAGTTATATATTACTCATAGTTTCTTCTACATTCAATGAATATAAATAAATAGATATCAAGGAAATAATCTCTTTTTTGAAGTCTGTCGGAAGTAGAATTATTTGGTATGCGTCTTTTGTCAATATTTACATTTTAATCTATGACTTCTTTTACAATTAATTTTGATTTTTGTCTTATAAAACTTGAAGCATTGATTGATATCTCTTTTTAATTTTTAAAAGGTTGAATGAAATATTTAAAACAACATTTTCACAATGGAAAATTGGATATTCTCTTGGTACATGTACAAATGAACAATATCCATTTTTAATCGGTATTCGTCGTAGTACAAATGGTGATTATTTATTTGATCGTCTTATTGATGGTTCAAATAAGAGACCAGTTATAGATGAATTTTTTGCACATTTAATGGAATATAAAGATCGTTTTGATTTTAGTGAAGAACAGTTCGAAAGAGAAAAAGTAAATTGATTATTATTATTTTTTTATTTATAATAAATAAATGTATTTAATAATTAATATTATTTAAATAGGAACGATACAATCAAAATATAATAGATAAATGCTTTCAAACTCACGATTTTCATCATCCATCAAGATATCATGATAATCCTCATATTTATCCATCAACAACAATGTTTCCATCGATAAATTTCGATGGAAATAATCCACACTATCCAAGATTTTTAAATAATCATTCTCATAGATCTGTTTTGCATAATAATAATGATAATTTACCAGATATATTTCGACAATTACATATACATTCTAATAACAATGATGATTATGATGATAATGATGATGATGATGATGAACAAACACCGACTATTAATCGTCCATTACCAAAATTTCCTGAATGATCAATTCGAATGATATTTAACTGTGATCATGTATATGTTTATATTCTTATTCGTTTTTTTTTTCTTTCACTATAAAAAAAAACAAACTACTTTTGTGATTACTAATAAATATAACTTTATTTTAGATTTTTTCTTTAATATGAGTGACGAATCACGTGAACAAATCTTATCTGATTTTCAAGTAAATTTTAAAATTTTCTTTTGTATATATAGAAAATTTCTTGATTCTTTTTTTATTATATAGAATTGCACAGGTTTAGAACATTTGGACGAATGTATTCATATTCTACAACAATATGAGTGGAATTTAATGGTAAAAATAAAAGAATTCTTTGTTTTTTTTTTATTATTATTATACATATGTTAATAATAGGAGGCTGTTCAAGCTGTTCATGATCGAATTGGGATTGGCAATGATAATGAATCAACAGTACCAGTACAAGAAATAACGAATAGAGATACATCATCAATAATAACAAATACAACGAATCAAAATGTTAATAATAATAAACGACAATCAGATCCGAATGAAATTGATGATTCAGATCAACCAAGAATTATTAAAACTATACCTGGTAGTCAACGAACATCTAAAGGAGCAAGTTCTATAACAAATGTTGGGCCAGGTTAGCATGTTCATAGGTTTCTTTTTTACTTTGCTTATCGATAATCGATTTCATGTTTTGAAAACATAAAGGAAATGAAAAGTTTGTAGAATTATATTTAGTTGCACTTAAATTATACTAATATACAATATCATATGTAATAAAGCATATAAACGCTTATTATTTACTTGGCATATGTACAAACTCTTGCAAGTTTCTTTTTCATGTAATAACTTCAATCATTAATCAAATCGTTTTGATGACATGCAATTTCATAGTTTTATATAAAAATAGTCACTCTAAATTGTGAATCATATTTGTTAAACATGTTGTAGAAAATCAAGAGTAGGATATTTAAAGACTTCAAAAGCTGCAAGAAATTAACGTAACATATTCAATAAGTTTAGTAATATTGTTATATGCGTTCTATATATATTCTATATGATTCAAAGAGATCGATATAATATGCGCCATACCGACGGCATTCGTCGCTAGTTCGATAATTTGACTATCATCTGACTGTCATGTTACCACGGTATACCAATAGTTGTTCTCCGACTAGTAATTTACTGTCGATATATCGATGGTAATGCGAATAAACATGCAACATGGTATATATATATATATATATCTATTAAGATTATTCTTTATAAAGAAATAAAAGAAGATTCGATTGTTTAGTGAATGATGATATTTGATTAGAAAAAGAATTTTGAAATAATTTATTTAACTTTCTTTTTTTTTTGTGTTATAGTTCGTGATTTAAATTTTACAGTTGAATGTTGTGATCAAACAGAAAAAATAAGCACATTTGATAGTGAAAGTGTTTGTATGTAATTTACATTTTTTTTTTAAGTTAAACTTATTTATATCTATATGAAAGATCAATTACGAGAAAAAATATCTAAAAAATTTTCTATTCCACCAAATAAACAACATTTTATCAATTGGACAATGAAAAGTTATGATGATCAAGTATGAATTTTCTTAATAAATAAATTTCTGGTTTATGTTTTTTTCTGTATATAAAAATTGAAATTTTTTTAGACAATATTAAAAGATCTAAATTTGCTAAAAGAAAATACAATTCATCTTACATCAATAGAAAATGGATCTGCTGTGTAATGAATTAATTTTATATTAAGATAAAAGTCAAAAATCTTTTTATTCTAGTCAAATTCCTAATCATACAACTTCATCATCAAAAACTTCAGATGAATTTCCATTAACGGTGCTATGTGAAGATAAATCAGGCAATTTAACACCATTTAAACTTACTTTACAATCACATACAACTATTAGTGAAGTTTGTTTTTAATTTTGTGTTAATTAAAAATCAAATAAATATTTTTATTATTTAGATAAAAAAACAAACTGAACATTTAACTCATATACCTATCCAAGAACAAGCTTGGCAAGGTTTATTAGGTGCAAAAGATTCGGTAATATTCAACGAAAAAAAAAATGCATTTAGATTTTATTCAATTTTCTAATTTTAGGATGAATTACGTCAAACATCAATTGCATCTAATGCACATCTAATTGTTTATCAATCGGATACATCATTAAATCAACAAATACCAACAATGAGAAAAGATACTAAAGTAAATAGGAGTTATATAAATTTCGACCCGAGCTCAAATTCCTCTCATTAACTTACCGAAAAATTCGACATCTTATAAAAAAATTGGTAGACTTTGTACTGGTTAGCAGTATGTGTTTTCAGTAAAACGTATTACTCATCAAGATGGTATAGTACCCAGTAGGATAACATAGTATTTGGCAAGATGGCGTAGTTCATTGAGTACGAGTTTGTATTAATAACAGCTGGCCTTGATGTTGTGGATTTTTTAGCAGTTTGTTCATTAATCTAACAATTGATCATAGAAGGAACTGATATTAGCTACCAGTCAGTCCGGTCCGATGTGATCTACTCAGATTGGTACCGGTACTGATCGTGTAAAACCCGGATTGGCTCAATCTCTACAACTGATGGCGCCAACTGAAACATTTCAGCTACGGTATTGATATAGTACTTTTCATCTACTGATACACAATGTCGTCTTTCGAAATACAATTTATTGACCAAAATGCTACAACTATAGTGTGATCTAAATTCATACTGATTAGTACTACGTCACGTTGCTGAACGAAACTCTAGAACTATAGTTTGGTCTAAATGCGCGCGACTGATAAGTACTTTCTAATGAAAATGACTACAGCTATCGACACATTAAAGCAGATCTGGGATCTTCTATTCTGTCTTATCGTTCATAAGTTACAAGAAGAAATCTTTTATTAAGTCTCTAAGAAAAGTCATATTTTTGTGATAGTCTCGTCAATAATTCTTAGTTTCAATTCATTTCTGTTCAATACATCGTTAATAAACGAATTGATTTCACTGATTGTACAAGAGTAGAATGAGAAAGAAACAGATAATATCTTGTGAAAAAAAAAAGGCAGACAATCATTGATAAGAAGACTGCTCTTAGAGCAATACAGTCAACATACTCTAACATCTTGGTACAATGTCTAATAGCACTTTTTTTTCCTAAAGCATAAGATCTATGACTGGCAGCACTTAACCTTCTCAATAGCTAAATAATTAAAAACAAAGGAAAATTAAATTTTTTTGTCGAATTTATTGAAGTCAGTTGCTTATATTGAGGTTTCAATAGTATTGATGGAATTTGTTCTTTTTGCGAAAAGAAATATATTCTCAGGCTCCGAAGAACTACTTCATAGAACAATCCTTGACATGTTTTCTTCAATTATGAATGCGCTGTTTTGTCATAAAAACATTTCTGAATTTTGAGAAGAAAGTGCAATGACGAAGGAACCTTTTAATTAGTATACAATCTGATTTTACCGAATATGTTCCTATTTTACAAAGATCTCTTCATATATGATCCTTGCGAATATGTACTACATCAATTAGGTCCTATGACCATGGAAACATTTTTCTACATAGAGAACTTAAAGTAGTTTTGTTCAGATTATGCTGCAATAGAGCACTGAAATAACTTCACAATATGTTTTCAATAAAGAAACGCATGTTTAAATAGACTGTCCTTTCCTATTAAGTGTTTCTCAAGATTTTTCTAACTCAGAACTGACATCTCGCTATGACGACGGAAGCAAAATATTTTTCATACTGAACTTAAATATTAATATGGACATAAAAACTGAAGTAATCAATCAGCTGCAGAAATTATTTTAAAGAAAAAACGATTTTCAGATGAGATCTTCTAATATGTCGAAGGTTTTACTGCTAAATACTATGCCATCTTGCCGAGTACAATGTCATCCTGATGTGCACTATATTTTAATCAAAATATATATCGCTAAATCCTATAGAATCATAGAAATGAAAATTTATTATTTATAAATAGCGTTCGATAATATCTCCTGATCGAAATGAAGATGATCAAATGGATATTGAACATGATAATGGTTTAGAATCATATGATGATGATGTTAATGTTTTATCTCAAAATAATTCTACTACAACATTTGCTACAGAAACAACAACATCAGGTCGAGAACCACTTAGTAAGTCTAAATTATATATAGGATACAATATGGATTTTAAAAAACGAAAATTCAATTCATTCTGTGCGCAAAACTTTAGTTTTTTCGAGTGATCGAGTTAAAAAAGAAAAGAAGTATTTATACAACATCTCTGCTATTATTTAATTAAAGAAAGATTTTTGAAAAGTAATAAATCGCTTTTGAAATGAGTCTCACATCATATTGAGACTGTAGAAAAGCTAAAAATTAGGGGTGCTGCATTAGCATTGCATTAATTTTAATGCCAACACCAATCTTTTTTGTTACGATCATAAGACAAAAGTATTGTACTTTGTATTGATTAATGTAACATTAAAGTGAAGCAGCATCCCTGACTAGTTTCCGAAGATTTTCGTTACAGTTGAAACAACGAAAGTATTATAGCTACCATTTAATTAATGCAATTATTGTATTAGTTTGATAGTAGCTGCAATGTTTTCGTATTCCAACTGTAACAAAAAAAAGTTTGGAAACTAGTCAGGAATACTACTTCGCTTCAGCGATACACTAATCAATACAAAGTGTAATACTTTTGTTTTAGAATCATAACAAAAAAGATTGGTGTTAGCATTAAAAATTAATGAAATGTTAATGCTAATGTTGCACCTCTACTAAAAAAGGATCCTTGTCTAATAGACCTATTTTTTTAAATGATGACTATTTTAGTGAGTTTTTCAACAAAATACTATGGTTTACTTAGTTCATACTTTAAAATAGACCTTCAAGCTTTAAATGCAAACTTTGCAAAAATAAAATTCTTAATGGAAATAGTTCACTGTGAAAGTATCAGATTTTCTAGTGTCTCTTATTGTCTGATATCAATATTGATAATTTCAATGAATCGCAAAGTTTACTAAAATGGTTCTAACTGAAGAAGACAAAAAAACCATAAGCATGAATTCTTTTAGGCTTTGTCTAATCTCAATAGGGTCAATCTAATGAAATAAGATTCATTTCAAAACCCATTTATTCCTTGGTGAAATTTCTTCATAAGCATTTTTGATCTCAATTCAAATAAAATCTTATTGATATTTCTAGTCTAGCAAGCAGGAGTTAAGGTCGAAGCCAAATGTAATTTCTTGAGATCTCTTATTGTTGTTGTACATTCGAACACTGTCGTAAGATTCATAACATCTGATAATTATTTTTGTTTCCCATATATTGATGATATCTAGTCATTGATTTTCCGATTATATCTGTCTCTAACGCTAAATATTTGGGCAATAAAATAATTAGCAATACTCTGTACTCTTGATCCGTTGAATAAAACCAGTATTAAAACAACTTCTGTATATGTCTCCTCATCTATTCTTATCAAACTTGCTCAGTGATGTCCTTAATACAGGAGTACCTGTAAAAACCGTGGACACCACCAAAGCTTCAAATAAAAAAGATACAGCTCGAAATGAATATCATACGAACATGGATTCTAGGCTGTGCTTTTTGTTTTCACGTAAACATCTATGATTACCTTGATTTTCTATTCTACGAAGTGTCTTACAAAAATAAATATCAACGTAACTATCATTATCTTCTACAATTAAAACTCAGATAACCATGAGTGTCCATGTGGTATGCAACTTTTATGTGTACCTACAAGTTCCTCTTATTTACCTTGATATTTAATTGCAAAAACATATTGCATAAGTAAAAAACTATTAGCACAATCCCTTCGTGATTAAAATATAAAACACGATGTAACTGCTGTTGCTAATCACCGAGAGAGTATTTTATATTATCTATCTTGGGACACGTTTCTTCAACATCCTCTTCAGAAATGCAACAAGGAAACAATTCATATATTATAACGAGACTTTGTTCATATACTAATTTTGATCGTATATCAGCAGTGTCTGCCATGGTCTGTAGGGCTTGTGAATTTTTATCCATTAAACTTCAACACTCCTTTTAGATAGTTTTTCACAAAACGAAAGCAATCATGGGTATCCATAGTTTTTACGGGTACCTTAAATACAGTGTTCTTTCTTGTAACTTTCTTTTTCTTAGTACTGCAATGAAAGAATTTTGAAAAACATAACTTCTATATTAAGGAATAGATTATTGTTATTTTTGTTTTTGTAATATTAATAAATAAAAACTAATGATATTTTTTCTAATATAGTTCCAGATGGATGTACAAATGATGCATTTGGTCTTGAACATTTTGCACGTGTCTTCAATAGACGTTATGGTTCAACAGGTCCTATTCTCTATATTGGCCCATTAGATCAAGCAATACAAGATTCACTTTATTCATCAATACATACTGTAAATATAAATATCATTCTTTTCTATAAAAAGAAAAGATAATATTTTTTTAATAGAGACGTCCATTAGCTATCTACCTTCATAATGATCAATCCGTCTGTGCTAATGTATTTTGTTCTCAAGTTTTATCAGCTGATTCAATTGTTGAATATTTAGCAAATAATTATGTTCTTTGGGCTTGGGATGTTACATCTGATGGAAATCGAACAAGGTATTTCATGCAAAAAAACAATGAATAAAAGATTCAAATTTTTATTTTATTCTTGAATTATTTTAGATTATTGGAAACACTTCGACGATGTGTTGGTAATCAATGTGCTCAACGTGTTGGTTCAATGGAAAATGATTCATTTCCATTATTACTTATTGTTATACGTTCTCGTGGTTCATTAGAATTAATAAATGTAATCGAAGGAAAAAGTACACCGAGTGAGGTTTTGCTCAATCTTATTCAATCATATGAATCATATGAACAACAACGATTACGTGATGTTGATGAAGAAATAATGCGTGAAAACCGTGAAAATCTTAAAAAACAACAGGAAGATGAGTATGAACAATCACTTCAAGCTGATTTAGCTAAAGAACGTGCACGACAAGAAGAACAAAATGCTAATGAACGTTTAAAACAACAAAGATTAGTAAGAATTATTTCTTGTTATTTTTCATAGAATTTATATTTATTTTGATTTTTAATTATAGCAACAACAAGAAGAATCTAAAGCTCGTCTACCAGAAGAACCAAACGAGACAGAAAAAAATATTACTCGATTAAAAATTCGTTTACCTAATGATGAAGGTGTACTTATGAGACGTTTTCGTATTAATGATACTCTTCAAGTATGTTTTCTAATAAATATTCAAAATAGAATATTTATCTATTTTGTGAAACATGATCTAAAAGGAGTGTTGAAGTATATAGGATAGAAATTTGTACTTCTTACAAACATTGTTCATATACAACCAAAGCTCATATATCAATAACATCTTATAATAATATATGAACTACTTCCTTATTATATTTCTGGAAGATTAAGTAAAAAAATAGTGAAGAAATATGCTCCAGAATATATAGAATAAAACAATCTCCCTGGGATTAACAACAGCAGCAACTATATTGCTTTTCATATTTTGTAATCCCACAAGCATTGTACTACTATTTTAAGATAAATAAAAACATGAAATAAGATGTTGAGAGAAGTTTAATAACAATATAATTTTTATCGTTTTGCCTATTATGTTAACAAAAATAGCTCAAATCCAGATAGTGACTTTAATAGTCGATAGAGTTTTCTATCTAATGCATTCTATAGCAAGATTTCATAGATGAACTATCATGATAAGTTTATAAAAGATCGAACACGATAAGTTTCAGGTACAAAATGAGGGTTCGCCGTGTTTTCTATGATCTTCCTTTAAAAAGTTAAAAGTATCACAAAAATTGTAAAAAAAAAAGCAAAATTTATCTAAAGATCGACTAAAAAACGCCTTTTTTTCAGTTTTTGTGATACTTTTAACTTTTTAAGGGAAGGTTATAAAAGATGTGGTGATCTCTTATTTTGTGCTCTGTAAAATGGCATTGTTGAAAAAATACCTTCTGAAATTTGAAAAACTATCGTGTTCGATATTTTGGAAATCTTGCCATCATAGTCCATCTATGAAATCTTGGTATAGAATTCTATTAGATAGAAAACTCTATTGGCTAATAAAACCACTATCTGGATTTGAGTCTAATTGCTTACATATTTTAGAAAAAAAAATGTCAAAAATACATTGTTATTAAATGTTATTCTACTAAGTTTATGTTATTTGATAAAAGAATAATTTCTTTTCAGAAAACTTCCCCAAAAGACTTCGCATATGAAATAGATTTTACTTTCATTATTATAGAGAGTAATTCATGTTCTTTCAATATTAGAAGTGGTGTTGAAATTAAAATAGCAAGATCATGAATGATTATAGATTTTGCACAAATTTAAAAAGTCTACTTTATTAAAATGAGAAAATCTTTATAGAACTAATGAGATATATAGTTTTAAAAAAAAACCTACTATCAAAATAAAATTCTAAATTTCAAATGTCTTCACAATTGATTTCTACTGTTGACATTTAGGTGTGCACCAGTTCACAGTTCAATGATTCGGAAGACTTGAATCAAACTATTGACGATTAACTCTTTTCTGTATGAGCAGTTTCGATAAACTGCTTCTTTCTGTGTGAATTAGGTTATTAAGTAAACTGTTTATCGTATCCAATTTGTTTGTGAGAACTCCATTTTAGGTCGCGTAGACTGATTTGGAAATGTGAGCTGACACAAATATTTTGGAAAGGATGAAATCAAGCTCATATGGAAAGAGTTAGATGGTCGATACCAGCTCAGTTAATCAATATGCAATTGTCACGTACTTATTGACAATTGAAATATCAAATACTCGATAGTTTTATGTTATTTGAAAAAGATATTTGTATCGTTCTGATGCAAAATTTTAATATCAGAATGTCCATATTTTGGTATAAAAATATTTAACTGCTACAATCTGTACTGAGTTAGAGCAATAAGAAGTCAACGACAAATAAGATATCATAAAAACAACTCACCGTACACAATGTGAAATATTAAAAGTAACATATCATATATCAATATAAACAATAGTGACTTATTTTAATTATATGCAAATGTAGTTTTGCAGATTGTTATATCGTGTGTACAATTTGATCTGTTCATTTTAAATTAATGAAAAAAATATTTTTATTTAAATATATTTTAATTAAATAAATAATCGACTTTTTATTTTCTCACTTAGGTATTATTCGATTATCTCACAACTCAAGGACGTATGTTTGGTGAATATAAACTTTTAACAACTTATCCTAAACGAGATGTATGTTATTTATTCGAGAATTTTTTTCATATCATGTTTTGTTTTTGTCTTTTTTTTTCTCTTTTCAGTTAACATCACTTAATCAATCAGACACATTTGAACAATTAAAATTATATCCACAAGAACAACTTATTCTCGAATCTTTGTAGCATATTCATCAATATCTTGCGTAAAAATGAACTTATTTATTTGGTTTTTTTTTCTTCTCATTCGATAATACAAAAGAATTCAAAACTCGAAATCATCTTTGATCTCAATGTGTTGATTGCATTTTTTTTTCAACTGTTAAAATTTTCTTCTTTTGATTTTTCGTTCTTCTAAATGATGACATTTTATATCTGCATAGCAATGAAAAGTTATGATTTTAATTCAGAAATATCATTTATAAACAAAAAATTCAGCAAACAATCTCATAATCTCTCAATTATAGATCTTGGCTCATATTTCAAAATGTTTTGAACAATGGGAGAATTTATTTTATTTTATTTTTATAATTTATCTTCGCTTATAAAGCATGACAATAATTCCAAATGGACCTTTTTTTCATATGCTTGGCATGCATAGACTTCATGAAAATCATACGAATGGCATCTTTGGAATTGGTCGGATATTTTTCTACCGAACCGAATCGGACGGTTGAAATCCTTGATTTAATCGGCGAAAAATCAGTGTGCTTCATGTGTCAATTAAACAATCAGTTCTTTCAAAAAACAGTCTATTACTTCAGTTCTACACAGACAAACAATGTAAAACTCATATAATCCTGAAAGTTTCTGATAGTAGCAATTCTTATTTTACTCAGTCATGTTTCATATGTGCTAGCATTAAGAATGAACGAAGATTTCTTTCAAAATGTTTCATCTATATTAGACTTCCTATTTTAAAGATTTTTTTAATATCTACGTATTTTCACAGTTATATGATGCTAATAGTTCGCAAGATCTTGGCAATACAACGGAATCTTTTTTTGATATTTTGTAATGAAAGTATGAACTGAAAACTACTAACAGTTGAGATTTTATGAGGCTCGATTAAAAGTAGTCCAGAAAAGTGCACTCGAAATTTCGAGATGAAAAACCTTTAGTTTAGACCGAATATGATGAGAAAATGTTAGCTCAGTATTTATAGCTGACATTTTGATAGCGACAGGAAAATTGTCAATAGCAAACTTCCAAGCTCATATCTCTTGATCATTAAAACCATGGAAAGCGTTAAAAACTAGCAAAATAGACAAGCTTTAGTGCCCTGAAAAAATCAATATAAAAAAAAGTAGTGACCATTGATCGGTTTTGAGAGTTCAACCGGATCAGAGCGGTAACCAGAAGACGACCAACCGATTTGGTTCCAAGTGTGATAAATAAGTATACTTAAAACGATCGATTGAAATAAAATAACTACATATTTTCTGCTCAAGATGAAATAATACTATGTGTCTTTAGCCTTATACTCCCCATAATGATTCCAGAAGAATCACTAATGAAACAACTATTGAAATAGAGTATTGGTCTATTCGGAAGGCCAATAATATACTAGATCGACCAGATGCACTTTCCTATATGTAGGATGATTTAGCACCTCCAGTTACCACTGACGAGTAACGACATGAAAAATACTATTTTATATCGTTTATGAATGGCTTGTTGGTTTAGCAAAAATAAAATCTATTTTTTTAATTCAACAATACGAATAAACAAAAAAACCAATACATAAGTAATTCAATCATCAGAGGCAGTTTATAATTATCGATTCATTATTCATCAGCTTCGAATATGATAAGATTTAAAACAATTAGGATGTGAGTTTGGTTTGGGTCTCTACTTGTCGGGCAACAATATCCATCTACACTCGAACTATAGAACTAACGATTTGATCAATATATTATTATTGTTTAAAAATATTTCTCGAAGTCAATACAATTTAAAGAATTTATTGATTCAATCTAACAATGAAATGCAATAATTTAAAATGGGAAAAGACTACAGGACGGAGGCATCACTGGATAATATTCACTAGTTGTTATTGTTGGAGAATTTTCCATGTTAGTTAATAGACCATTCTTATTGACAATATTTGAGCCCGTATTAACAATACAAAATGGAGTATTCATTATTGCAATCACACGATTGATAACATCTTCTGCACATAAAGAAGGTTCCTTATTCAATAATTCAGTTACAAGAATTTGGGCACATTTAAACACATCGTGATACTAAAATTGAATTTAAAAAGAAAGAAGTTAAATTAAATGAACATTTCAACATACATCACTTGGATCTATTACACTTTCTAACCGTTGTCGGATTTGTTTGACAAGAAAATCAATAATCTATAGTATGAATAATAAAACAAAAGATTATTTGTTATTGTCTTAAATAAAATAAAATACTAATTTATCGGTATTATATGTAGATGAATTTGTCCGATGCGTAATTCTAAAAATATTATTTTCTCATTTGTTTATTTTGTGTATATATTTGAAATAAATTAAAAGATACTCACGTTACTGTTTGTGTATTATATTGTGGAAAAAATTTTTTTTCACATTCATTTTGACGTTGACAACAAGAATGTTGTGCAGCAAGCGAATTCATAAATTGTTCATGTCTTCGATAAGTTTTTTCTTTGAGAGTGTCAGGTATACAACGTGATGGAGGTTTACGATAATAGAATGAACCATCGAAACACAACTATTGAATTAAAAAAAACAAAGAGTGGTTATATTTATGAAACTCACAATCTTGATTGATCGTACGAAACATTTCATAATATTCAACTTGTGCAAAACGTGTTAGTAATATATCTTGAGTCGGTCGCCAATCATCTTTCTCAATACAATAATTGGAACAATTAAGTTTTGACGATAAATTGGATAAATATGGTTGTTCATATTTATTCACTAACTTTCGAAATACTTTATATTTATTCTATCGAATAATATTTCACTTACTATTCCAATTAGTTTTATCAATTTTACACTGATAGAAGAAAGTATTAAACTAAAAAAAGGTATGTATAATATCAGAGCTTTGCTTTGCATATGGGCGCCTAAATCTATAAGATCGAAATTAATTCATTCTATTATAGGAAAATCAGATTAGAAATTTACATATGTTATTATCAACGATCATCATATTATTTTAGAAAAAATTCAATTCGATTTATTGTATATTGTTCAATATATGGACTACCAAACGAACCAAAATACATTAAAAATACAGCTGATATCCCCATACTCTAGATAAATCTGGTGTATGTATCGTTTTCCATACAGAAAACGAAACCATAAGATTCTCAAAGTAGGTCTCATCAGAACGATTTACATACAAAAATCATTAGGATCTGGAGTTGTATCATGTTTTATCAAAATTTAGGATAATCATTATTAATATTGTTGGAATGCTGTCGGTCACCCAGATCAAACAATTCCATTATAAGATCTTGTACAATTCTTGTATGATCTTAATGTTAGATTGCACATGATCCATGCATGATTTTCCAGAGTTTCTCACAACGTTGTATGCCTGGTTTTGTTCTATTTTCGACTTCTATTATCTTGTTTTCGTAAGAAACTTTTGTATCTTCACTCGTCTATGTATATTTATTTACAAAAATTACAAAAACTAAATGAAAACATAGATATGCGCTTAAAAGAACATAAAAAAAAGAAAAAAGAACTATTGTTATTAAATTTGATTACTAAAATGATTGGAAATAAAAGTAATGAACACAATTAAAGATGTACGTGTTTTCTTCTGTCTCTATTTATTCTTTGAGAAAACAAACGTGTATATATGCACATGAAAAGCAAGAATAAAATAGAAAAGAGTGCAAAGGTTAATCAAGGTCAAAAAAAAGCAATAGAAATGAAATAACAGCAACAAAAATATCAAAGAAAAGAGAATAAAGAGGATCGGAGTATATGTTATAAGAATGCGCTGTGACACACCATTTTATTATATCGAATCTTTCTCCTCGAGCAGACTTTCAAAAGCATACAATGGGTGTAATGAGTGCGCGAAAATTTGAAATATATATTTTTAGTTCGTTCTGTTCTGATTTCGAGTGCCGTGGCAGTCATCGAATTCCGACCACTCAAAAATTTCATCCTATCGAACATTCATTTTCGATTCTTCAAGCACTTTTAGATCCCTAGATACTCATCGAAGTTTCGAATGCTCGAGAAAAGAAACATATCAGAAGCATAATATTGAGTGCTTCAGTAGAAGTAAGTCTAGCAAAATAACAGTTTCAAGTAGTAAGTTAATTTTTATTTCGTGAAACTTCTTCAAAAAATAATTTACAAATGTCTCTTTCATTTAGCTACCTTACTAGAATGATTTATATTCGACATATATTTTCCTTTATTTCATAATTTTCTAAAAAACAATTTAACATTAATTGATGAAAAATAACAAGTAAGACGGGAATCCATAGGCGTTTTTGACGAAGAACACAGCCATAACGAATTTTGCGTTCTGAATATTTGAAAAATTTTTTAAATATTGATTTTACACTTTATCACATAAATCAAATATTTATTGAATGCCATATTTATCAAATATGGGTACTTATATGGCATCTGTGGCTCCAAAAAGTCGTTTTCTATAGTTATAGACACATAAAAAATGTTTTTATTCGATTAAAAAGTTTTTTAATTTTCAAAAATTGTTAGCAAATGTTAAAATAACAACCTTGAAAGTACTATCTTCCCAAGAATGAAAAGATAACTTTCATAGAAGAACAATAATTCATATTTGGTTTAGATGTTCGACGAATGTTAATAGTAAGTATCAATGTGCGAATCTACTCCTCCGTGTTTATTTGATAGATTTCGACGGCTCAAGAATGAGGCATCTATAGGAAAAAATCATTTTTATTTTGATCAAATTTTGATCCCCTCGATAAAAATCGTTCGACTGATCGAAAACTCCATGTTTTACTGACCTGTCGCCGAGCCCTCGATCTATCGGAAAGTGAGAATCCAAGGGTCCGTTTTCCACTTCGATGCTCACGGTAGCCTTAAATCAACGCATCGAAGTGCCTGATCGGATGGCCAGTTGGATCCAATTTATTTATTCATGCAGATCAGCGCTCATGAAATTTTTCTCATCTGTATAAAGCAGTCTAGGTAATTTACTTCGTTTCCTCTTATATACATATTCATTATGATCCGCTGTGGAAGCAATGAGATAGAGAAGACATTTTAAAGGCAACATTCTTGTGCTCGAATTTAAATATCATTTTTTGTCTTTCTTTCTCGTGTCTATATATATATATATATATATCTTTTTTTTTCGCACTTGATTGAACTCCTTCTCAGCTAGAATGAAAAGTCAATAATAAACATCAAATTTCATGCTCTTTGAACTGATCTTTTAAAGCATTAAAATAAATCGTGCTTATCTTGCAAACATTACTACAACCTTTTCGTTTTATCTTTGCATTTGCATAATATTTGATTTCTTCTGTTGAATTCACAATTTGCCTACTTTTTTAATTCAATACACTTTACGTTGTGTGTTCTCTACATTTCACCGCACGAAACATCGTTTTCAAGGTACTCTTTTTGCTTTGATAAATAGACTACTTAAATATTTATATCATTAAAAGATAAATATATAGATTGACAAATAGATAGGTAGGTTAGTATATGGTTAACTAAATAAATTTACACAACCAATGTCGAATATGAAATTATCGCATGTTAAATATCGAAAGTAAGAATATCGAAAGCAGATATGTCGAATGATGAAAATATGGAAGAAAAACATTGTTATTCGTCTTCCCTCTGATTTTGATTTATTTGTTGTGATAATATTTTTATACTTCAACATTTTATCTGTCAACCAAATTTAGGTTTACCAACTACCAAGTTAGATAGTTATATAATGAGATAAATAGTCAGATATTTAACGAAACAGACGTTTAGAAAAGTAGCTAGATCGACAGTCAGGTAAGGCATTTTTTTGAATAGATGTACAATAGTAAGAACTAAACAGTTTATAGGTTCCTAAGACTATTTAGAATCGGCAGAAAATTCTGCTGCCTTTCTTGTTAAGTACTTGGTGAGTTTTGAAGATTGTCTCATCCAATGAAGATTAAAATGTATTTCCAATTGTAATATAATGTTTGCAAAGGTTTCTGATAACTTCAAGTTTTGAAAAATTATGAACAGAGATGTTGGTCTTGCTAACCACAATATTACACTTGAAAATTCATATTTTATCTAGGTCAGATAGGAATCGTCTTGAAGGCTGGTTATATTATCTAATACAATAAGTAAGAGAATTCGTTGTTGACTGTAAAAAGATAGAACAATGCGGACTATAGAGAGTGAGGAAAAACCAAACTGTAGTTCTTATTCTTTATTCCCAAAAAGTCGATGTACGCTTAAATCTGAAATAAACATTTATTAGATAGACGTATAAATGGATAATAAATTAAGTAGATTGTTACGTTTTTAGACAAATAGCTAATAGATAGATAGGTAGTTTGACAGATCATTAAAAGTAGCTATTGCAGAATTTTTTTTTTGAAAAAATCAATCGTCATCTTTTGAAGAACTTTCGATCGTTTATAACTATCGAAGTCGGGTTTTCGTCATTAGATAGAGCAATATCAGAAATGTCTATCTATGTGGCATTCATTAAGTTCGAAGAAATTTTTCATGAACATTTACAGGTGACCATTTTTTTCGTTGTCCATTTCTACAACTTTTTATAGCAATCTCGGCTCAAATTACACCAAAATGTAGCCCAGAGAGAGTTGTATTATCCATAAAATTTCCAAATTTCCAAACACTTCCCTTGAAGCATGAGTCCAGGATGAGGATGAAAAAGTTGAATAATCATATAGGGAATACAACACTCTTTGGGTACATTTTGGTGAAATTTGAGGCTAGGTTGCTACGAAAATTTGTAGAAATGGACAACGAAAAAATGTTCGCTTGCAAATGTTCCTGAAAATCTTCTTCGAACTTAATGAATGTTACATAGATGGATGTTTCCCGACATTGCTCTATCTAATAGGAAAAATCCGACTTCGATAGCTATAAACGATTGAAAGATTCAATGAATAATACACTTTAACAATCTTACCTTCTTTCGTTCTTTTCAAACATAATTCGCGAATAATACAGATAACAACCATGGTCTTTCATGTTTATTGTCTCCTTCTTGTGTCTATACATATATTTTCCTATCTTCTGCTTTTGCAACAATCAAACTAATGCATCGTGAGAAAATGTACTTATTTCTCTTTCTTTTATGTTTCTCATGTATCTAATGGATGAACTTATAATATCACAATAAAATTGAGTCGAATGTAAACAAAAATATTACAGATTATTTTAGTCAAAGAGTTTTTTTACAAAAATATTTACATTTTTTGCTTATTAATTAAAAGATTCTTTTAGATAAATCGTAGACATTACTTTAATTTTGTACTATAAGAATCTCTATCACAAACTAGAGATTCTTACAGTGCAAAATTAAAGTAATAGGACATTCTTAAAAGATGATAAAAAATTTCTAATAACTAAGAACTTGTCTGAACTATTTTTTATGCAAACTAAGTCTATGAATAGAACAACTTCCTTAGTTTAGAAATCAAAATTGTAAAAACACGTTAAGTTTCTTGAACGAAAACGAAATCGGAAAAATGTATGCTTTTCGTGGTTTTATTTTCGTTAAAATTTTAGCAGATTTTTTTCGTTTTTTGTCTGGCTGAGTTTTATCCATATTTGATCCAGATAATAGCTTCTTGTCGAACTTCTCAAGTAACAGCTTATGAAAAAAAACATATTTTTCAACTTCGACTTCGAACTTTGTATACGTGAAGACCTCAATGAGATGATGTTATATACAAAACTTCATTTATTTTGAATATTGCAATATCAACATATGAATTTCTCAAAAAATGTACACTTGTAGGTATTGTGCAAAATACAGATATTTTGAGAAACCCATATGTTGACATTGCAATATTCAAAATTAATGAAATTTTGTATATTTAATAGTCTCATTAAGGCCTTCGCGTACATAGAGTTGCTACTTGAGGAGTCTGGTAGGAAGTCATTATCTGAATCAAATATGGACAAGATCCAGAGTCCTTTTAGGATTATGATATTCTAGTGGTACTCTGCATACAGGCACATTATGCTGGCAGTCAGAGCAAATCATCTACGAATGTTCGTTCGTTGAAATCCAGTGCTTAAAAGCGCTTAAAGATGCAACTGCAAGCGCTTTTACGCGAGAAATTTAAGCTACATTAAGAGAGCTTTTTTTGATTAAATTTTCATATAGGTCATCAAAGCTGAAAAGTATGTCCATCTCTACTGTAGTAAAGGAGACAATATTTGATTGGACGAATGAGAATGAGCCTGTGTTATGCTGTCTTTCTTCACTATGTAGAAGCTTGGTATAGATAGAAAATGACAATCAAGCTATCACAATGAGTCACACAATGTAGAAATAAGAAAGTGCAAAGAGAATCAACGGAGCATATCATGGATCACACGTGGCGATGTATATGAATATTGTACACCGTCAATTTTCTTTCATCAAGCCTCTTGATCCTACGTTTCATACAAATGAGTATTGTGTGACCAAAATGCGAAGAGTGGATATCTATTAGCATACTATTACTATATCCTAGTTTCCAATTGTAGATCAGCGTCTTGTCACTTTTTATTTCTGTTTCTCGTATTTATTACAATGCCTGCCGATTCTGTTCCAGTATTCTTGAATCGTGATAATAATGGTAAGGTCAATTTTTCGATATTTAGTAGTTTTATTTGTCTAAATCACGATCTATAGAATTTCCGATTGAGAAAACTGATCTCATTCTTTTTTTACTTAATAATTCTATTGTTGTTCGAAAATGCCTACGCATTAAAGTTGGCCTATCTCAAAGATTTAAAGTGAAGAATGTAAAAGTATTGTTTTTTTCGTTGTAGGTCCACCATCAGATAAATTATTAGTTGCAACGGAGAACAATCCTCTATTGGCAACAACATCTACTACAGTCAATACCAATAAAGATTTTCCTGAACAAAATATGCAACAAATCAATGAAAGTAATGTTCATTCTCAGACAAAGCGCAGAAAAGTGATAAAGATATCTATTCTTGTATCGTTGGTGCTTTTTGTGATCGCTATCATTATCATGTTGATCTTCATTATTATTCGTATTAAAGCAACAACACATGCTCAAGAGTCAAAAGTGAATAAAACTCAAGTATCAGTCAATGCAAATTCAGCAGGTAGGAATTGCAACGATACGAAATGTTTACTGAAGCTTGCTTAATCAGTGCATATTTGTATTGAGCAACGAATTTTTTTCAACAAACAGCTCTCCACGATTACATGTTTCATCTGGGAGAATTTATTAGGAGTAGTAAATATACCGAATATAAAACTAACCCAATAACATCATTCGCACAAACAGTACATGAAATAGATTCTAGCAGGAGAACATCTCTTAAGAAGAATCACTGATGAATAATAAAAATGCCTTTTGGTTTTTCAGATAGATTCCAACCTGACATCACTACTGTTCAGCAATCAACAAAGAAGGTGCTGTTCGTTATTGCAGATGGTATTCCTGCAGATGTTATTGAAGCTGTTTCGGTTACGAACATTCGAAAGATTATCGACATTGGACGATATACAAGAGCTTATGTAGGAGGAATCCGTGGCACATATTCGGAGACGCCAACGGTTTCTGCGCCGGGTTACATGGATCTTATTACCGGTACATGGGGTAACAAACACAATGTCTACAATAACGATGTCAAAAATCCTAACTACCATTATAAGAATATTTTTCGATTGCTGAAAGAACAAGAACCACAGAAGAAGATCGCTATCTTCTCAACTTGGACAGACAATCGTATCAAACTCGTCGGTGAGAGTTTACCACAGGCAGGTGCAATTACTTTCGATTACAGATTCGATGGATATGAACTAGATCACAACACTTATCCACACGATCCAGAAGCACATTACATCTATGATATCGATGAGCGTGTGATTAATGAAACTGTCGCATGTATCCGAACATCTGCACCTGATCTATCATGGGTTTATTTAGAGTATACCGATGATGTTGCACACAAATTTGGCGACAGTGATCAGTTTAATCAAAGCATTCTTATCCTTGATAATCAGATCGGACGCATTTGGGAAGCAGTGGAGTATAGACAGAAGCAATTCAATGAGGATTGGTTAGTGATTATTACAACCGATCATGGTCGAGAACCAACTACAGGCCTAGACCATGGGAGACAGTCCAATCGGGAACGTACGACTTGGATAGTCATCAATAAGCAAGACACCAACGATTATTTTCATGATTTTCAACCTGCTATCGTTGATCTATTGCCAACAATGACACGATTTCTAGGTATCTCCATTCCATTGAAATCTGCTCGAGAGCTTGATGGAGTTCCATTGATTGGAAATATTTCATTGGCCGAACCTGAGGTAAATTTGCTTGGTAATAGTATCCAGTTTCGTTGGAAAGCGTTCGATCATGTTGGCAACGTGACAATATGGCTTTCGACTACCAATACATTCAAGAACGGAACGACCGATCATTACCATCTAATAGGAACAGTACCAATAGATAAGAAAACAGCTATGATTGATATACAGAACTATCCATCGAACTTCTACAAGATTGTGCTAGCAGGTCGACATAATATGGTTAACAAATGGATTTTTCGACCGGGTTAAAATTATTCATAAATCAATACATAAACTTTTTTCTTGTTCGATTATGCAGAAGTTTGGACAATACTCAAAACTGCTACTACGGTCTTCAAATAGTTCTTAAAATATAGATCATTTTTTGCTTCATTTTTTTTGACGATTGAACTACTCTATATTTTGAAGGTGAACAGGAGTGGGAGTGGGAGCGGGAGTGCGTATGACGAAGAGGAGATTTATACACAACGTCCACATTCTTCTGTTGACAATGAATTGATCGAAAATGTTTTGTCGAAAGAACATTGTGTCGAAATTCATATTTCGAAGTAATATTCTTGTCCAAGAAATCATTTATCAAAACGAGTTCAATACAACAAATTAATCATTTTCGAGCACATATTTTCATATCTTCTTCTCAGGAAAATTTTTTTCGGAATTTATTGATTCTCATATAAAAAGTTTGAATTCAGATACTTTCATCGAGTATCTTCTTTTTTCCAATCACTTTCTCATGACATACTAGTAATTCCATTTATTATAAATACTTTAATTTAGTTCAGTTGATTAAAATTAATTTAAAAGGATCATATATTTAGAACGAATATAAAATGAAATGAATTGAATGGAACTATATTTCTTTTATTTTAATTTTAATTAAAATAAATCTAATCTAATAAAATTATTGTGTTTATTTTATTTTAAAACAAAATGATTTAATCTGTTGGCATCGTTTTAGTTATAGTATCATGAAGTGAATTAGTCTTAATATAGTTCATTTTATTTCCATTAAAATAAAATCGACGCTATGAGAGTTATTGACCTACGATTAAAATAATACGTAATAATTTAATTTAGAAGTAGGCTTTTTTTTTATTTAAATTATACTTATTTCTTCATTTTAGGTCAGTTTTTACGATTGAATTACATCGAAGTGAATCGTTTTTTAATTGCAATTATTAATTTTTTTTATTTCAGCTCATATCAATATGGTATTTAATATAAGTAAATCTTTTTTTGACTGAAATTATTATTCTTTATTTAGATCATTCAGTCGATAAAACTCAAAAAAAAATTTTTTTTCTATAATTTTGTTTTTCACTTATGCATTACAAGTGTATATTTACAGGATGTAACAAAACCTTTACGCCTTCCCTTTCCCCTTACAACCTAATGAATCAATGATATAATCAACTATTTTATACCAGATTAATGTCCATCAAAAACTGCATCTTAGGATGTAATTAGAGTAAATAGTAGCTAGACAATTATTAAAATACCTTGCATCACATATTAAAATGTCGTAAATTATACAATCTCGAATCTAAGAAAGAACTACCGTACCACTCATTGACTTAAATTGTGGACCATAGAGTTTCCAATTTATTACAAATATATACTGCTCACAAATAAGCGTTTGTGACAAAGTTCAGAAATTTGTATGACCTCCTCCTGCCGCTTTGTGAGCATCGAATCTTTTCCTCATTGAACACAGCAAATCGATAAAAAGATCTGTGCCATTTTCCAGATCCTTAAGTGTATTCTCAACGTTAGTTTTGAGAATAACATAATTGTATCTGTTTTGACGATCTTCACTTACCATTAATTCTTCAATTTTATCTTTGATCATTGCGCCAATGTTTTCTGCTGGGTTCATATCAGGATTGTTGCTGGGCCAAAGCGAATTGCCCCAGAACTTCACACCCTCATCCTCCAAAAAATGCTGAGTGGCATTGGCCTTCATGCAGATTACCTTATCATGAAGAAATATAACTTCATTCGCGTCTAGAACATTGGTTGGATCACAAAGAAATGGAATCACATGTTGTTGCAGAATAATTTCACGAAAATAGGCTCCACCCCAAGATTGTCTGTGTTCCTTCAGAACCCAAAGAAGTTTCTTTACAGTAAACATGACAAAAATTCTGATGCATCTCGCATCCTGAACCATTTCACGATACCTTTCATCGATGCTGATGTTTTCAGTATTTTTTGCCCAAATTCTGTCATTTTGGTGTTTGGTTTAATTACCACATTAATATAAAATTCATCCGAAGGTGCGACATGTAGAAAATCCTCTTCAGTCCAATCAACAACAAAATTTGCGATCTTCAATATGCGTATTTGTCTTCGATGGCTTTGCGATCACATGGAAAGGTTTTAATCCTTGTCGATGGCGTTCACGATGAACAGTCATATGACTCACTCGCTGTCTTGTTTTCTCCAAAATTTCTCTTGCAACCTTTCGAGAGCCACTTTCTCTCATACTACTTGCAGAAGTAATAATGTTTTTGCTCTCTTGGGAGAGTACCTGAGGTCGACCACCTCGAAATTGTGTATAACACTACTCAGTTGATTTATTCCAATATCACCTTACTCAATCTTCGCTACGGCGGAGTTTTCGGAAATCCATTGACGAGTGATAAATGAGTTTTCTGTTGTTGCAATCATTTCATCGCCTATCTCACGATACGTGATACAACGAATTCTATCCACAAATCATTGCTCTTCTGAGTCATGAAGAAGACTAGCCATTTTGATTCACTAAATTGATGTGTCACAGGCTTGTTTTAATTTTAATAATATTTAATTCAACTTTTAATGGTATTGAAACAGTTAGTTGCACGAACAAGAAACATACAATAAAGGAAAGAAATGACAAAACTTGAAACAGTACCCACGGTTATTCATTCTCTTTTCTCTACATTCTTCTCTTATCTGTCTGTGTAATATATGTACACGTAATCTGCTTCTCATTCTTTTCTCTGTTTCTCCTCTTCGTTGTTAGTGATGGGTAGTGAGTCCTTTTCAATGAAAAACAAACACATTACCCAGTTCGTACACATGCTTCGTAAGAGCCGAACATAATAATTGCGAACGAGAAATACATCAAGTAGGTAAGACTGCTACAGTGGAATACAGATTTAATATCCTTTCAAACGGATGTAAAATACAATCCATCAACAAGTAATTTATGCGTGAAGAAAGAGGCGTAATAGTTCTTTCTTAGACTCTTGATTGTATAATTTACGACATTTGGATATGTGATGCAAGCTATTTTAATAATTGCCTAGCTACTATTTACTCGAATTACATCCTTAGATGCAGTTTTTGATGGACCTTAATCTGATATAAAGTAGTTGATTATATCATTGATTCATTAGATTGTAAAGGAGAGCAGGCCGTACAGGTTCTGTTACACCCTGTACATGTTGAAATGTATATTGGTGCCAAAATGATTTTTATCTATAATTATATATATATATATATATATTAGAATTTTATAATAGTTTTTAAGATGGCAATGATGATCAGGTTCTATCTAGTATAATAAACTAGCGAATGTTGTTTTCATTCTATATCATTAAGTTTATTCTAAAAAACGCATTTTTATAGTTTTTTGAATGATAAATTTTTAATATCGATTTATTTCAATTTATTGAATAAATTATTAAATTTATTCCGATACAAATATACTAATTATCTTTTTAACGTGGTTTACGACAATTCAGAGATGGTTGAATAAGATTCAAACCAGGTTCAGTTTCATGCGACGTAACAAATGTATAATTGTCAAGAATGAAAAGATTAAATATCTTTGAATCAAATGTAATTTTATGCGGATGAGTTTTATTTTGATCATAGATAAATATTTTGTTCTCTTCTGGTATAACTGCCCATATCCGTTTACAATCATCAATAACAATATCTGATGTTGCCTCATTTTGAGTAATAGTACCACTTGTATTTTCTTTCCATGAATTATTCTGGTCTTTCGTATATAAACGAAGATTCTCATTGTTTGCATACCAACCAGCATAAAATGTGTTTTCATCAACAATACCAAATGCATGTAATTGTCCAATCGCAGGTACTACAGGAGTACTTATACACCTATCAAATATTTCTTGTTGTTTCTCACAAATAAATCCACCTGATGAAGCTGTACCTACAAGCATTTCTTTATCATTAAGAAAACGAATAGTTGTTAAACCCTTTCTAACTGGAAATTCTGTTATTTTTGAAATTAATGCTTCATTATAAACTCGTATTGTATTGTCTTTACCAAGATAATAATATTTATCATAATAACCAACAGTGCTAGAATCTGGAATACTTGATACATCGACTATTTCAAGTTTTGATCTATCAAATTTAATTAATTTGTCGTTAGATGTTGAAACTATCATATTATTATCACCACGAACAAGAAAACGTAAGGTTTTGTTAAAAACGGCTTTTTTAAAATTTAATGCTGCATCAATTTTTTCAATAAGATATGTTGTATTACAGCAGTCATCTTTTTCTTCAAATGTTATATTTTGTATTAAATATATTTTTGTATCATTTCTTGGATATTGAATTTCATCTCTTTTAGGTATAAAATAATAAAATTGACAAGTAAAATTCATTGATTCATTTTCAGTACAGGTTAATAAAACTACCTTAGGATTACTAAATGCATCACAAAGACATTGATCACAACGTTGAACTTGTAATTCATGACCAAGATTATCAGGTATATCAAAAGGAATTTTAATTGATGCATTATGAATTATTCCATACGTATAAGAACTTGCAGATATATGTATAAGAATAGAAAATTTTAAAACATAGATAAGAAACGTCATTTTATTATGATGATATTGAGTTTATTTCATATATGCGAATAAAATAAAAATTTTATATTAATATTTAAAACAAAAAAAAAAAGCTATTTGAGAAATTATAATTATCACGTTTTGTAGTTTTTTATATTAATGATATCAAAATAGATGGAATATAATTTATTTTTGACGTGTTCAAACAAAAAATTTAAAGTTACACTTGAAAACATAAATACAAAACTAATTATTATATTGATACCGAAAGCTGTTAGCACAATCGCTAAAGAATTCACATATGAAATCCGATGAAAATTTAAATGAAGAACTTTTCTTGTTATAGATGTTACTTTTCACATCTTTCTTATCCCTCAATATGATATTTCTTTATTGTGTTCTCGCTCTCTCGTTCCCTTGTTAACCCTAGATGCGTGCCATATATACACATGTGAACGTTTTTCTCTACTAGAGATGGGATCGGTCTGAATAGATCAGACCGAAGCAGACTAGTTCGTCCGCAGTACATACCGATACTGAACAGATGAGTTGTCGTACCATTCAATCTGTGGATAGTGATATTCGACGTAGACAATCTTCGATAGAGGTTCTTTACACATCCACTATGAGATAATAAGAGCAAAAAAAATAAATAAAACACACCAGTAACGATTGGTCTACCGGCAACCGATCGGTCTAAAATCCGTACTGGTACGGGACTGGTCGGTAACCGGTATTGATTCCATCACTGGTCTAAATGTAGTTCTAATTGTGTGGTTGTATGGTTTTCTATTGAAATAAAAGTAAAATAAGGTTTCGTAGGAATATATCTATGGACTTAAAAAAGCATTTCGGACGATGAAATGGACACTAAAATCGATGTATTTCTATGTCGTTGATTAAAATAGACATTTTCATCAATTTTATTGCGTGATTTTGATTTAAAATTCATGCAAGTCATGAATTTTTTTGAGTTTTGACTCCATGGATGTTATCTAATAGTTCTTTGCTACATATTATCAAACTATGTTTACCATGGTAAATAATATTCTAGCATCTGCTATAATCTTATAAGAACTGTAAGAGAAAATTTAAAGATTTGAAGTTAAACAACAACATAAAATAGCTGTCTTCTTATAATTTCAATAATACCGAATTAATCTCAGTTTCTCATTTTATCCTTTTTTTGTGGAACTCACACATACTTTCAAAGAAAATGACGAATATAAGTTAAGATCAAGGTTTTGTACGGTTCTCTTCCTCCCTTGGTTCTAACAACCGTGATCATAGATCAATGATTATCTTTTTCCTAACAACGAAGCAGGAAGGCGGCAAGACCAATGGTCATTGTGTATGTTTCCATAACAACCTAGGACAACAGGCGTCAAGCTCCTTTTTCACAATCTCTTAACAGCGTAAAAAGGACCTGAACGATATTAACAATAAGATTCAGATTGTTCAAGAATATTTCAAAGTCTTTCACGAAATTTCAATGGCTGGAATATATTTATCAATGTTCCAAATGTGCAGTTTTTTTAATTTTTGCACACATAAAAATTTATATTTAAGATATCAAGGATGGTAGATAGTGGTACATCAGTTTGCCACATGATCAACATCAAAATTGTGAACTGATGAAGTTATAACTTTGGGAAATAATCAATATCAGTGTTTCTGAGCTTATCAAGATATATAGTAGTGTGTTGAGTGAAGACTTGCTGAATCAAAAAGTAAGACTTTACGTACAATTTAAGAGAGATGACCCATGCTAATCGTCGATTAAATAAATTAAAAAAATCAGTATTGAAGAATTATTTTTACATGTGATATAAATAAATTCTGGAATAGTTTCCCTAGATCAACACCAAAAACCACATCAAATATATCGGGGCTAAGAAACTTGGTCCTACATATCTCTAGTATTGAGATCTACCGTAGATCTGATGTAAAAATGAAAGATCACGAGCGAATAGCAACAAGATAAATAAAAAAGAATAGAACATCAGTAAAGAAAAAGGAAAAATTTCTGTTTCAATATAGAAATAAATAAGACAAATCATTTCCTTGGCAATTGATTACCTTTTTAAAACCACTACAGTCTGCTATAGATTTTTTAATTAACGTATTTTGTATTAGTATAATGAGGTTAACGAACATATGTAAATTCCACATTTTTGCGCCAAACAAGCTGTGTTGACGAATTGTTTCATAGACATCTATTACTTCAGAATTGTAACAATGAATATAAAAGTTTTTTTTTTTTAAATTAAGAAAATTTTAAACAATTTTAAGATGGAATATTTTTTGTATAGAATTTCATATTTCTGTCTGATATCATTTTATTAGATTTGTATAAATGAAAATTCGCATAGCAAATAAACAATTCTCCAATCGAATATCAACACCTACAATATAAATATTATCTAAAGTTACAGCAAATCATTCATATTGACATTTCCTACTTGTTGATATATTAAAAGCCTTAATTTAAGTGTAATTTATTGCCTATCGTTGACAAAATAAAAACAAATATTGTGATCGATAATATAAGAAAAAAATATACGATTTATTTTTATTCGGTATTTTCTTAAATTGATTATTACATTCTTTAAAAATAAAAGCATATCACAAACAATATTTTTTATACAAAATATATTATTTTCTATAATGAAATTTTAACTAAAAGAATATATTATAAAATTCTGTTGCATGTCACTGTAACTCTTCTTTTCTTTTTCTCTTCTACATGAGATCAAACTAAAAGAAAAAGAAAAATAATTAATAAAAAAGAAAATTTAAAGAAAACTATTCTACATACAAGATCTTCTTCGTCACCATCGTCTTCATTAGTTATTAATGCATTATTAACAACTTCAGTTGATGTATTTTCTTCGAGAAATTTCTTTGCTTCAATAGATAGAATATTTGATTCAATACATTCGTCACTGGTTATTAAACTGATTTTTTCTAAAAATAGAATAAAAGAATTTTCAAAATGAAAAATAATTTATATCATCAACAAACATTAATAAACTGATCCCAGTTCTATCAAAACTGAAATATAAGTAACAGAATTTATCTTGTTCAAATCTAGTTGAGCACATAAAATGAAAGCTATTAACAACTAAATAGATCATCAGATGTTTGAAACTTATCGACAATGCCAAAGGCTAATTTTCTATCGATACTGAGAACAAAAAAAAAACGTCGATCGAGTTCATGTCTAGTTCTAAGGTATAAAAAAGTGCGTTGATTTGTGTGTTAGACGATATATTTTCAACTGAATATAATTATAAATAAATTAAACTGATTTTGAACAACGTGTGCTCAATTAACTTTTGTGAGAATGATCTTTATTCAAAGATTTGTTCTTTTTTGCTGAATTTTAATATAGATCAACGTATGAGTAGTGAAATCAAACAAAGAATTTTCTATCTGATATTTTGTCTAGAAGTTTTAGTTGACATGATCGTTTCGAAAATTTAATCGATTTTCAAATATTGAATATGTCAAAGAGAAAGCAATCGCTTTAATTGAAATTTATAGATAAAATATGAGGTCAAAAATTTGTTGTTTGATTGAACTGTCAATAGTATGTTCCATGGTGAAAATTTAGTAAAACTTACGTAACTCTGCAGAGAAAGCTTATCAAGCAGAATCATTTTAGAGTTATTCTAGTTTAGAGATCCTTTCTATACGTCCAAGATATGAACTCATAAGTGGTAAATTACGTCAGACGATGCTTGCAGTAGTCTAACAAAAGAATTCTTTCTAAAACTTAATCATTATTGTTGTGTGTCTAGTTTGATTTCGTCAACGTGTTGAAATTTCAACCAAATCATATTTATTTCTTATTGAAATTTACATAATTGCAATGTAAAAGTAAATAAATAATTTCGGATCTGATCGTTTTAGGTCCCTGCTGAATTGGTATCGAAATCATCTTGCCCATATCTATTTAGGATACATGAGCCGTGGCAATATGGCATTCGACGCAAGTTTTACACGATCATAAAAGATATCATGCCCAATGAGAAAGGAGAGCCCTGATCCCTGTGTCGGGTCCGATTTCGGTGGAACTGTAGCCATCTTGGCTATATCCTATTCAAACTCCGCTCTATATTATAACAACCTCCGGGTTTTTTTTTACTTCATTTTTCACATACCATCAACAATTTTTTTCCAAAAATCTTTTCTTCCATCGATATTTGCTGCTTGTTTTTTAATTAAAATTTGTAAATCATTAAATATTTTTGGTTCTAATTTTTTAATACATATTTCACGTAAATATTGTATACATTGTAAAGCTTTATCAAATAATGCATCACCACGTGAATTATTAATAAATTCAAGTATAATTGTAGACATTTGTTGACATAGATCAGTAAATGATGATGAACCTTGTTCAATTAAAATTTTAAAATCTTCAATTGGTGTTATTGTACCAATAGTTCGTATAGCTGCTTTCTTTTTTGCAGCTAATTGTGCTTCAAATGATGTAGAATCTGTTGTAAGTTGTTCAATATTTTCATTTTCTTCAAGACGCATTTTTTTTGTTGCGCTATAAAATAAAAAAAATAAAAACTTTTTTTTGTTTCAAAATAATTTTTTTCTTCTAAACCGTTTCTTACTTATCAACATTACCAAAAAGTTGATCGCCGGTAGTTATTTTTTGTCGACGTTCAGTATCTCGAAGAGTAAATTGTTCATGAATTGTATCTAATGTTCGTTTACTCTTTGAAGCAATTGATTGAACTAATGTTTCATTCATTTCCATAATTGTATTTGATAATGATAATGATTCTTCAGGTGTTACAGCACGTCGAGCAATAGACTAGAATGATTGTTTTTTTTACTTGAAATAAAATAATACAATGAACATAAAATACATACTTGAAACATTCGTTGAATATATGGATTAAAAATAAGTTCTGGTCGAAATGCTTCTTCATCCCTACGAAATAGAAATTTATTTTCCTTTGTCTATTTCCTTAAATTTTTACCCTTGATCAGCATGTGTCAAATCCATA